CTGCAACCTTCTGATTTATTTGGCTTAGTTCAGGCCAGGGTAGTGGGTGTTCAGTGAGCCAATATCAGGAGGTTATGCAAAGTCACTGAAAAAATCCTACCATATGTTTCATAATATCTGCACTTGCTAATCCAGTAATGGATCGCTTCCAGCACCTACCAAGATCTATAAAATAGTAACTAAACTCTACGTAAACTAACAGTTTGTCTTGTAAGTGAGAGAAATTGTGGAAATCCAGCACACATCAATCAGCAGCTGAAAGAGCAGAAAAGGTTGATGTTTTGGATGTCCATTCATTGGAATCAGGAATGTCAGTGCCTTGGGACGTCCACCCGACGTGAAAGGCCCTATACAAATGTAATTTTGTTGTTGAAGTGTCTCACCAAATACTTTAGCTAATCTATCACTTTTAGATGCTATTTGACATATTGTATACAATATTTACAGTATCTGTGTTTGTCTTTTTGTTTACTAATGTACCAGCCCCAGCTCAGGTGCCCATTCTGCACTGTGAATGCAAGTATTATTATTATGAAGCACGTTGAGATGTCCTCCTGACATGAAAGGCACAATACAAATGTAAATTTTATTGTGTTGTACTTTATGTTACAGGTGTGATACACACCCAGTGTGTTTGCCTCATTCTGGATCTGGAGTTGCAATTTCCATTTCCTTCTTTGTAAATGAAGATCCCCCTTAATATTGTAAAGCGGAAATCCAGAGTGAGTAAGTTTGACAAGGTTGTGTAAACAGGTAACTTTGCTCCTGCTTTTTTTTCAAGTAATTACACATGATTTCATTGTTTGAGAAGTGGATATAGCAAATAATACGCTCATGTCCACTTGTGCTAAGCGCACATCGGGATTTGAACCTGCGGTCTGCTGGTTTATATAGTTTAGTTAGGGCTGTGTACTGGGTGGAGGTTCAATGTGCCAATATCAGGAGGTTATGCAAAGTCCACTGAAACAGGGGATTTCATTTTACCTGCACTTGCTAATCCAGTGATGGATTGCTTCCAGCATCTACCAAGGTCAATAAAAACATTTGTGTTCTGACATCATTGGAATACTTACACAATGGTGTCAAGATGTCACGGAAATGTGGAATGTCATTTGATGCAGGAAAACTCGGAAGCTCCAAGGGCGGTATAAAATTCCTGCTTTCGACACTTGGGAGACCCGAGATCATCTTTGTAAAAACAGTTTTATTATCATTTAATTGCTTAAATATATCAATGGAGCACCATCAAATGCTACTGCTGTCATTAGGAACCTATTGAGGATGGCCCAGGGATTTTAATCCTTTTTTATGTCCTTTTATGGCTTCTTGATCCTTTAGGTTATTGCCCAGCCTTTTATAATAATAATAATAATAATCCTTGCATTTGATATAGCGCTTTTCACGTCGGGAGGACGTCCCAAAGCGCTTCACAGAACACACTGTAAAGTGAATTGACTGTATATTTGTGGGCGAACGCGGCAGCCAATTGCGCACAGCAATGTCCCACAAACAGTCGTGGATTGAAAATGACCAATTTATTATTGTTTTTTGTTTTAGAGGCGTGTGGAGTAAGGAAACTTGCCCAAGGTTTCGCCCTGCCTGGAATTGAACCCAGGTGTCTCGCTTGCAAAGCAAGTGCTCTAACCACTGAGCTACAGGACTCCGATAAATAACAGGATAAATAACAATAATTCTTGCATTTGTTATAGTGTCTTATCACGTTTTCAAGATTTATGAAAGTGCTTCACAGAATATACTTTAAAGTGAATTGGCTATATATTTTGTGAGATTTTTTATACATTTAATGGCTTTTATAGCATCAATAATCTTTTGTTTGCTATAGCACCTTTCACTCTGGAGGCGATCTCAAAACACTTCATGCAATGACTGTGTATCGTAGGTAAAAGCTTGTACTGTATCTGACCTTATCACTTGCCCAGCTTGTTTCGTTGTGTTAAACCAATTTACTCTGGTTACAATCCAAGTGTAAATGTTTATTGATACAATAACTATCTCTTTTAAAAATTCAGTATATCCACAAGAAATCCTGTCATTTTGACTTGCATGACAGAATTAAAAATTGTTCAAGATTGCTCAATTTTAAGCACACTTCTTGTTAAAAAAGAGTGGTTTTTAAAAACTAATAATTTCAACACCTCAGTTTTAACTTTTAAGGTGTGTGAGACAATCCTGAACATTTTACTTAAAAAAATACAGTAGTAACTTCTTCCCACTTTTTGCTCATTCTGATAGCTAAACACTTTTTATGTAAACGGCACTTTATACATGCAAGTAATTGTATATTGTCAAATCCCTGATGTTATATAAACAAGAGGAATAAATAATGAATAACTCTTGCATTTGGTATAGCACCTTATCATGTAAGAAGCAAAATGCTTCACAGGAATTACTGTGAAATGGCATGAATGTTTATTTGTAGGCAAAAGCAGCTGCACAATTGCGCACAACAATATCCTACAAACACCCGTGAAATTAATGATCAATTTTATTTGGGAGATTGTTGGCTAGGGCACTGGGAGAAACTCACTTGTCTTTTCAAATAGCTCCAAAGAATCTTTAATGTCCACCCGAATAGGCAGACAGAACCTCAGTTTAACATTTCATCCGAAAGACAGCACCTCTGATAATGCAACACACCCTGCACTAGAATGTAGTGTCAACTTAGACAATGTGAGTTCAAGTCCCCACGTGCGATAATGATAAGCAACAGCAACAACAACAAAATTACGTTTGTATAGCGCTTTTCACATCGGAATATCCACAAAGCCAGTGTTTCAGACGTCCCAAAGCCAGTGTTTCAGACCCGAGCTGCAGGTCGGGATTGGGGATAGTGGAGGGCGGGGGGGAAGGAGAGTGATCGAAGGCACGGTGGAAGAGAAGGGTGTTGAGATGGGTCTTGAAGGAGGCAAGGGAGGGGTGAGGCAGAGGGACTGCAGGATTTAGTTGCAGAGGGTGGGGGCAGAGTGGCGGAAGGCCCGCCCGCCAATAGTGGAGCAGGCGAGGCAGGGGACATGAAGAAGGCTGGAGCCCACTGAGTGGAGGGAGAGGGCAGGTTGGTAGGGGTGTTAGGAGGTCGCAGAGGTGGGGGGGGGGAGCAAGACCATGGAGAGCTTTGAAGGTGAGGACCAGGATCTTGCACTGTATCCTCTGCGTGATGGGAAGCCAGTGGAGTCGGGCGAGGATGGGGGCGATAGGGTCATGGATCTTTGTCGGCCTCCCCAACTCCTCCCTCCATAGGCACTTTGTGTAGTTTGCGTGGATGTTATGAATGTGTGTATGAGCGTCTCGGCGGCCTTTGGTGTGAGACAGTGGCGGAGCCATGCAACATAATGGAGGTGGGGGAAGGCAGAGCACACAATGATGTGCATTCTCAAATGGCTAAAGTTTTTACAGTATTTTATTACTCACTATTTAAGTTAAGGTGCAAGAATACTTAAGCGTTCCTCCAAAGACTTCCATTCTGAGCACACAAGACTTTACCAGAAAGCAATGGTTCTAAAAATGAATATATCTGCTGAGCTTGTTTCTCAAAGGACTGGCTATGAACAAAGGGCAGATGGCCAGATATTTCTACTGACTTTCAGAAGTCATGCCCAGACTGCTGCATCCACCATAAACAGGAACTCTCAGTCTAGACAAACAATAGACGTAATTTGAATTTATTTTTATAAAATGAATCAAGCAATATTAGAGGTTAGAAGCACTTTTTGTTTCTACAGAGTGACGGATATGGGGAACATGATAGCTGTTGGTGTTGCATCAATTGAATCCTTCAGAAAAGCTGATCAATTGATCCAGAAATCTGTGCAATGTTTGAAACTCAAGAGGTAACGTTTATTAGAGTGATATGTTTATCAGAGTGATACATTGGTTAAGGCACTTTAAATGGTTATGGATTGATGAGTGCATTCAGTTACCACTCAAGCAACAACATGGTAGGCTGTGAGAACACGGAATACAGTGGACTGCCAAAAGTAAGTTAAGGCACTGAAATCTTACATTGATTGAAAATATTCGAACATATCACCTCAATGATTTGGAATAAGACTGTTGTAAATGGCTTTATTAATCAATAATAACTCTTGCATCAAAACTTCTCAAAGCACTTGACAGTAGTTACTGTAGATTTGTAAGCAAACACAGCAGTCAAATTATACACAGCTATGTGCCACCAACAGTCAGGAGGTAACTGATCAATTTCACTGTAGGATTGTTGGCGTGAACACCAGGAGAAACTCCCTTCTCTTTTTGATTTGTGCTATTAGTTTTTTAACATCCACCCGAACAGGCAGTTTAGAGAAACTGAGCTACTGTGAAATGTTATTGCACTGTCAACTCCCTCAATGACTTTAAATTCTTTTGTTTACTGTTTTGGTAATTTACACCCTGATGTCCTTCCTTTCACTGGAAATCCCTCCAACGTGGTACCTTTCTGCCTACCTAAGACTATCTGGAAATGCTCCTTGTACCTAATACTGGAGTCCTGTAGCTCAGTGATTAGAGCACTCACCTCGCAAGCGAGAGATCTGGGTTCGATTCCTAGCAGGGCGAAATGATGGGCAACTTTCCATACTCCACACGCCTCTGTTTACCTAGCATTATGTAGTAACTTGGTTGTTAGTCAATTGGTGGATCGCTTTTCTTAGGGTAATAAATCCTTCAAAAAAATAATAAATTGGTCACTTCAATCCATGACTGTTTGTGGGACATGCTGTAAATGGCTACCACGTTTCACCCACAAAAATATACAGTCAATTCACTTTACAGTATATTCTGTGTAGCGCTTTGAGATGTCTCAAAGACATGATAAGGCACTATATCAAATGCAAGGATTGTTATTATTATTTATTATTACTATTACTATTACTATTATTATTATTGAGCTGGTCAGTCTGTGGGAATGATTTTCCTCCAACCTGAAAAATGTCACGGATATGTGGAATAGCACAGTTCTCAGACACTCTTAACAAATATTCAAATGAGATTTAAAATGCTTTATTAGTATTTACAAAGTTGAGCAAATTATTATTGTATTGTTATAAATACTGGTAATGTAGAAAATTATTAACTTTATCCAAACGTTTAGGACAATTTCAGTATTAATCTGAAAATAACCTTCTTGTTTTCTCCAAAAAGTCCAATACATTTTTGACTGCAGTTAAATGTTGAAAGATATGCATTAATTAGAAACATTGAATCTGTCCTGCCAAGTTCAAGTACAGATCAGGAAAATGCAGGTGCCCCGAAAACAATGCAAACCCTCTACTAATTTATTCTATTTCCCACCCCTCTGAGTCTCTCCTTCCACTGAGTGTTATGCCTAATTTCCCACTGAAAGCATAGGTATGTGAGTGCTCCATAGCCTGTTTAACATATCAGTTTGGTGTTCCATTCGATATATCACGTTATTTGTCCATAAGTAAGTAACCCCTTTACAAAGCCAACTGTTGCAATTTGATTTAGGTTTATTATATTTCAGACTTGATTTGCCTCCAAAGTATAAGTATAAGTCTGCTCCAATCTCAACAATAGTGAAGTATAAATGTAATTTTACATACCTTCATTTTCATAGAATAGGACGACAATTACAAAATCAACAGCGCACTGAACAATCTAGGATTTCCTCAATGCACTTCTAGGGCCTGGAGCATGAATCCAAATTTTAGGCTAAAACAAAATCTGCAGTATTACATGCAGTTTACAGACAGACAGCACTCAAACAGCTAAATAATAACAAAGGAGAAAAAGAAACAAAGACCACATACATGCTTGTTATTAAATGTGACATATTAGGTGCAAAGCTTCAAAGAAACAGTTTTCTTTAAAATATTCTGATTTTGAATTAATAAATACAAACACAAAAAGAGTATTCAAAAAATATACACCTGTGAGTAATAGATGTACTACAACAAAATAAAACACAAAAGGGAATTTAGATTTCACTTTCAAATGTCTGTAAAAATGTCTTTAAAGACAGGATTTCAGGATAAGCTCTGGTGGTTCTACGGTAGAAATCCAAGCCGGTCAGGGTTTCAATATCACGAACACGTGCAGTGTGTAATTTCATGAGGTCTTCAACCCATTTCGATTCATCCTCGTTGCTCTGAAAATGCACACACAGAACACATTAGTTTTTGGGCATATAAATATTCAAATTAGTCTGCTTGCATTCTTAATTTTTTTCTATTAATAATTTTGTTTCTGAAAAAGAGCCCTTTTTAAAAACATTTCTATTAAAATGCACCTTTTCTGCACTATTTATGTTAAATGGACGACAAATTAATCAAAGTACTTTCATTAAAAAAAACTATTCAATCAAACCCTACTCAAGCTTTCCATATTCTTCAAATAATAAATAATAAATCTCCAAATATTTTGAAGAAAATTCAGTTTTTTAAAAATGTTCTTTTCGATGACCAATTCCCAGATCCATTGCCAGACCCTGTCTGTTTTCTGACCCCATCCATTCCCAGACCCCATTTGCTCCCAGACACACTCTGGGACAGCCACTCTTATCTGTATGCGACTAAGATTTATTTATATTCAGTTGACATACCTGGAAGCAATGGATTCCCAGAGAACACTGAAGGAGCCATTTTAAGTAGCTCCCAAAAGTGGTCTGGCCGACAGTCTCAATACCTATCATTCATGTTTGACTCGAACATGATTCATTCATTGTATCAGGTTCAATGATTCTTATTGCGTGGGTGAGATTTTGGTGCTAAATCAATCCATAAAGTACTATACAACTTGAGAATTGAAAATCTGATTCCAGAGTATTGCCATCTAGGTATTTTTTCAATTCCTGAACACTTGACCGGGGGAAGTAAAAAAGCAGGAGGCACATATAAGAGGGTAACACAAATTGTAGTTCCAGTCTAGTTATATAAAAAATATCAGATTATTCATTGTACTTAATGGGAGCATTGAGTCTGCTGCTTTCAACACTTACATTACAACTTTCATCATTGTCAGGTCTGTGGGGGAGAATGAAAGAAGTGGCAGTCAGTGGCCCATCACACCTGTCCACGGCCTGAGTGCTGTCCAGGCAGCTTGTGATGATGCTATAGAAGTGAGTTGGAATGGGGATTGAGCCATCAACAAATCTAAAATAAAAGGAAAAAATTAAAATGACACTGAGACTGAAAATACACAATTGTTCACATTTGTATGCAAATATGCATGCTTCAGTAAGGAAATGGGAGAGGACAACTAGTCATAAGATTTCCTAACTATATTTTTGTAAAAAAAAATGTTGCCAGCCTAACTGAGTTGGCAACACTCTCATCTCGGAGTCAGAAGATTGTAGATTCAAGCCTTACATTGGGACTTCAAAATCATAAGCTGATACTCCAATGTGGTGCTAGAGGGAGTGCTGCAATGTTGGAGGTACCGTCCTTCAGATAAGACATTAAAGTGAGGTCCCATCTGCCTGTTTAAGTGGACGTTAAAGCTCCCATGCACTATTCAAAAAGGGAAGGAAGTTTCTCCCTGTGCCAACAATCTCCCAAATCAAATTGGTCATTCATCTTGTGGTTTTCATTGGGATATTGCTGTGCACAAATTGTCTGCTGCATTCACCTACAAAATTCAGTCACTACACTTTACAATAAGACCCTGTGAGGCGCTTTGAGCCATCTCCACAACATGATAAAGCACTATATCAAATAGAAGGATTACATCTGATTATTAATTGAATTTAAAATGTTTTGTTTGTAATGGTAAATCATAAGCCATGGTCATAGCTTACATATATACACACACACACACACACAGAGTCTCAGTACGACACTACAGACTAAAAGAATCTCTGTGCTGAAACCATGGTCTGATGCAGAAAAGCAAAACAACTTGTATTTATGAAACTCACCTATGTGTAGAGCACTTTACAGATATGGTGCCGGACAGCAAGCAGGGGATGGGAGAAGGAGGTGACCTTCTACTCCCCTGAGTTACTGAGTGCAGCAAAAGAGGATACAAATTGAATTAGTCAGTGCCCTCTTTTGCTGGACACATATTTTGCCTCTCCTCCTTCTCAGGGGGCAGATAGGTGTAGCCCTACTGGCATTCAGATGGTACATTGTGCAAAGTGAATGGGTTCTAACAACTTGGCTAAATCTATTGCAACTAGTTCGCTCATTTTCAATTACACACAGAGTTACACAAAGAGTGCAGAAAGACGATTCCCATATTTTACCCAGTCAACAATAAACAAAATACAAAGCCTTACCGTTTTACTTTATCAAGCGTGTCACGAAGACCGTCATAGTCGTAATCAAACACAGGGCCACTAATGATATTAATTCCATTTCGTTCCAAAGCCAGTTTCTTGACTATCACCTTGTGAAAGTAGTTCCACACTCCTGCACAACAGCAACCAAAGAAAAATGATTCAGGGAATTGAAGGTTGCATTGAGTTGCATATTTCAAATTGAGCATATTTTAAGCAATCAAAGATGCCAAATTTAACACTTTCCCCAGAAAGTGTCTCCTTATTACTTCTGGCTGTTATAATTCACCACAAGTAGGTTCTGATCCGAGGTCATTGCATTAGTTTTGTTACAAAGAAGATTTCTAAAGGTAAAAATATTATTGTTTTTTGTAACTGCTTTAGCGTACAATATGCAGATTATGGTGATGCCCCAGTTTATGCAAAGAAAATAAAAATACTGTTGCAATTCTTAGCAAACATGTTTCAGACAGAAATGACTATATTGTGCAACAACGCTGACCCCTGTGTTATATCAGGTGTAATCTACAAACAAGTAAAAATGCTAGTGAACTACAATTGACGTAACAGTCACCTACAACTGGCCAGTGACCATTTGATGAACTCTACAAAACTGCTTATAGGACAAACTTTGCAACATCCAGTTTGAAAGTCAGAGTAACAGGTTCAGTATTATCATACAACACACTGATAATCAGTAAACCCAGGATTTTATATCATTTCCATCACATAAAGACAGGGAGTTGTACACTGTTCACCACTGGATTGAAAGGAGCCCTGCTTTTGTGGACAGTAGTTCAGAATCAGCAAACTATGCAAGAAATAATTAACAACGTTCTTAACAACTCTCGATTGTGGAGCTGTATAACTAATGAGTCAACTTAATACATCTAAATGGCAAATTTCAAGCCCAATTCAGCAAATAGCTGTAAAGAGTTTTCGGGTGCACACAATATATACTGCCTTCTTCCGCACCTCTTACTGAGTGTAGAGTTATGCCAGACACTTGGTTTGCAGTATTATCATTCGATTTAACAGCAAAGTAGGAAAGTGCAACAAACAATGAATCCTGGTAGGTGTCTGAACAGCCTAATTAGAGTTGAGACACAATTATTTGCATTAATTAAGTACAGTTTTATTATAGATAAAGACCCAATATGGATAATAGATCATCAGGCAAAATACAAATTGGTTCTGAATTAACACTTTCTCAACCAGCAGTTGATCTGCCATAAAAGTGGTACAATATGGCAATTTTTTGGTCTCTGCTTTTCTCTCTGACTCTACAATTTACTATTGCTCTCGATCACTTACTTCCTCTCCTTCTCACTCTGTCTTTCCATGTCTCTATTTCTGTGACTCTTTCTTCCTCTCACTGATTCTCTCCCCCACCCTAGCTATAACCCTACACTATAACTGTAACAAATTAGTGACGTTTCAGTCATGTAGTTGGCTAGTCATATTCCCATGAACACGCATGTGCTCACCACTAAAACTTTTTTGCTGTCATTGTAGTTCCACATCATAGAATCATAGAATTATACAGCACAGAAGAAGGCCATTTGGCCCATCATGTCTGTGCCGACATCTTTGAAAAGAGCTATCTAATAAAAACCCATTCTCCTGCGCTCTCCCCATAGCCCTGTAAACTTGTCTTCCCCAAATATCTATCTAGTTCTCTCTTAAAAAGTTGTTATCGAATTAGCTTCCACCACTCTTTCAGGCAATGCATTGCAGATCTGAACACTTGCTGTGTGAAAACATTTCTCCTCACCTCCCCTCTGTTTCTTTTAACAACTATTGTAAATTGGTGCCCTCGGGTTACCAACCCACCCACCAGTGGAAATAGTTTCTCCTTGTTTACACTACTGAATCACCTCATAATTTTGAAAACTTCTATTAAGCTTCCTCTTAAACTTCTCTGCTCCAAGGAGAATAATCCTAGCTTCTCTAGCCTCTCCTCATAACTGAAGTCCCTCATTCCTGGTACCATCCTGGTAAATCTCCTTTGCACCCTCTCCAATGCCTTGACATCTTTCCTAAAGTGTGGGGCCCAGAACTGAACACAGTACTCTAGCTGAGGCCTAACCAATGTTTTATAAAGGTTCATCATAACTTCCTGACTTTTGTATTCTATGCCACTATTTATAAAGCCTAGAATCCCGTATGCTTTTTTAACAGCTTTATCTACCTGCGCTGCCACCTTCAAAGATTTACTTATATGAACCCCCAGGTCTCTCTGTTCCTTCACCCCTTTAAGATTGTACCATCATCTTATATTGTCTCTCCTCATTCTTCCTCCCAAAATACATCACTTCGCATTTCTCCACATTGAACTTCATCTGCCACATGTCTGCCATTTTACGTCTGTCTATGTCCATTTGCAATCTGTTACCATCCTCCTCACTGTTTACTACTTTTCCAGCTTAGTATCATCTGCAAACTTGGAAATTGTACTCCCTGTACCCAAGTCCAGGTCATTTATACAAATCAAAAACAGCTGTGGTCCCAATACTGACCACTGGGGAACACCACTGCACATTTCCCTCCAGTCAGAAAGACAACCGTTCACCACCACTCTGCTTTCTGTCCCCCAGTCAGTTCTGTATCCATGCTGCCACTGTCCCTTTAATACCGTGGACTTCTATTTTGCTTACAAGTCTCTTATGTGGTACTTTATCAAACGCCTTTTGAAAATCCATATAAACTACATCAACTGTACCACCTTCATCCATCCTCTTCGTTACTTCACCAAAAACTCTATCAGGCTTGTTAGACACGATTTTGCTTTAACAAACCCATGTTGTTTGTCCTTTATTAACCTATATTTTTGTAAGTGAAAATTTATTTTGTCCTCGATTATAGTCTCTAGAAGTTTCCCCATTACTGACGTTAGGCTGACTGGCCCATAGTTCCCAGGTTTATCTTTCTGTCCTTTTTGTGCAAGGGAGTAACATTTGCAACCCTCCAGTCCTCTGGCATCACCCCAGTGTCCAAGGAGGATTGAAAGGAGGATTGGCTGTTATTTCCACCCTTACTTCCCTCAGTAACCTAGGATGCATCCCGCCCGGATCGGGTGACTTATCTACATTGTGCACCGAAACCTTTTTAGTACCTCCTCTCAGTTTATTTTTATCTTATCCAATTTCTCTACCCTCAACTCTGATTCTGTGGCATTAGCTGCATCCTTTTCTTTTGTGAAGACAGATGCAAAGTACTCATTCAGTATGTCAGCCATGCCTCCACAAGAAAATTTCCTCTTTGGTCCCTGAAGTTAAAATGTGATATGCAAACAATAAGTCCTTGTTCTTTTGTTCTTGTGTTCAAAATCCTGATAGTTTTCCATGTGTTAGTATTTTCAGATTCAGATACTACCACAGCAGCAGTGGGTGGGAGAGAGGAACTCAGCTCCATATTCCCCCTGTCCAGATCATAGCAGTACCAGACTTGCATCAGTTCAGAAACTATCACGCACAATCACGCATCGTGTCACACTGTGTTGCACATTGTTGGATTTGATACTATTACATTGCTCCTATAAGATTGCCAATTTCTCTAAAGGAATAGAGGTCCAAAATTACACCCAATCTCTGCTAGCAAGACTATTTTATGTTAAAATTTAAGACTGCAGAATTTTTAAAAATTGTGTCTTTCTATAGTTCTTAAAAAGAACCGACTTCCAAATTAAGATCGATTTTAACGATTTCTCATGTCTGCACAATGTTACAAAAGGAAAAATGGAATTATAAGCGAGAACTGAATGAAAGTTTGGACCACCAATACCCCAGACTTGTGGAGGAAACAGACCTGACATCCGTGCTATAAAAACAGATTGTTGAACACATCTGCTTTTTCAGATATACTCTGGAGAAGGAACCTGAGGTTTCTGATACAGGTGGTTGAGCAAAACAATTTCAATACCTCAACGACAATCAGTTTCTTTCAGAGGTCCATATAGACAGATCATCATATTATCAAATTCGACCCAGGATGTGACAGCCTCTTGTAAATAGGCTGTGTAATTCTTTGGAGAGAGCAACATCTCTCAAGTGAAGATTGGATTTGATCTCCAAAAATGTATTGACGTACATTGCTGATGGATTTATTCAATTGGCCAAAGCAAATAGCATTGGTGAAGATGTGCGCTGAGTGTTACTAAGGTACTGGCACAGAGCGGTCGTTCTGCCAGGCAAAGTATTGAGTCATCTGCCTCTGATGCAACAACAATTACTGTTAAGACACCTAAAGATGAAGAGGAACCTTTGATTTCTGTCCCTAACCTTTCCCAGCAGGGTGAAACCTTGGGCAAGTTTCCTTACTCCACACACCTGATAATAATCCCTCAAATAAAACAATAATAAATTGGTCACTTCAAACAACGACTGTTTGTGCGACAATGCTGTGTGCAATTGGCTGCTGCATTTCGCCCACACATATATAGTCAATTCACTTTACAATCTATTCTGTGAAGCGCTTTCAGATGTCTAGAAGATGTGAAAAGCAATATATCAAATTCAATGATTATTATTATCTTCTGGGATTGAATTAACCAGTTGAAGCTGCCAGCAAGAATCTCCTGCCCATTTTTGACCATACACAAAAAAGGACATTTCAAGATGCTAAAGAACCACAAGATATGAGATAATAGCATTCCACCAAGGAACGGCACACAGCTGGGGGCTAAGGGAGAAAAAACACATACAAACATCATAACATAGACACACTGTAAACAAATCACATTTTATTGCACAATAAATATTATTGTCACCATTATGTTGTTTTCCAAGGAATCAACTAATGGATTGTCCTGATGTAGCTGTTTCTGTACAGGTAAAATAAGCACAGTGTGGGATCAGAACAGCTGGGGTGTGATACTTCTCATGTTCTTAGCCTTAAACCTTTGGAAATCTTGACTTAAATTTTTTATTTCAAGAAACTGGCTTCCAAATTAAGGATGAATTTAGGGTTTGTCCCAAATTTTGTATATCTGTAAATGTTAGGATTTTAGAATAATAATAATCCCTGCCTTTGATAATTAAAAATAATAATCTTTGCATTTGATAGAGCACCTTACCATGCAATTGAGTTGTCTCAAAGTGCTTCACAGAATATTTTGTAAAGTGAATTGAAGGTGCATTTTCTGGGCGAAATGCAGTAGCCAGTTGCGCACAGCAATGTCCCACAAATAGTCGTGGATTGAGTGAAATAATTTTTTTTGAGGGATTATTACTCCCAGAAAGCAATCCGCCAATCGACTAACAACCAGGTTTCTACTTACTGCTAGGTAAACAGAGGAGTGTGGAGTAAGGAAACTTGCTAAAGATTCACCCCTCCCAGAAATCGAACCTGGGTCCTCTCTCATGGGAGGTGAGCGTGCTAAACATTATGCTACAAATCTTCGAAGCAAATCTTGATATAGTGCTTTATCAAAAATGGAGATGTTTTGATGCGATAAAGCATTACAACAAATGCACGATTATTACTACCATCTTAAAATGTACAATTATGCAGAATTTTAGCAAATTCCCAAGTTTACCCTTTAGAGAGACCTGAGTTCAATTCCAGGCAGGGCGAAACCTTGGGCAAGTTTCCTTACTCCACACGCCTAATAATAATCCCTCCAAAAACCAAAAACAATAATTAAATTGGTCATTTTCAATCTACGACTGTTTGTGGGACATTGCTGTGCGCAATTGGCTGCCGCGTTCGCCCACAAATGTACAGTCAATTCACTTTACAGTGTGTTCTGTGAAGCGCTTTGGGACGTCCTCCCGACGTGAAAAGCGCTATATCAAATGCAAGGATTATTATTATTATTATTTAATTTTAAAGCTGAAACCATGAGAAATGTCATTGTAGATCCTCAGGAAAAGATTCAAGTCTTGGCTGTGAATAATTTGTCAATGAAGTTCCAAGCAGATTTGCCATGGCTCAGGCAACCTCAATGTGAGAATGAATTGGCTTCACAATCCCAACAATAAAGGTAACGGTTGCTTGACAAGCAATACCTTACCTGAATGGAGTCCACTTTTCTCATCAAAAATCAAAAAAAAATTGTGCACCTTTTAACGTATCACATTAATTTGATGTGGAAATTTTCAGCACTCAATAAAGCACCTCACCATTCAACAACTGAATGTCAACCAAAAATCTACCTCTTACAGTTTTGTTTTCGACTTTACAATTCATTCCATTTACTTACTCTTAAAAGCAGGAAACATTGGAACAATATTTGATGTTAAAAGGGCATCATATTTAGCATCAAGTGTGGATCCAAGAGCTGTAAAATAAGAAATATAAATTAAAATGCATCTGAGAGGGATTACAAGTCAATTTCAGTCACAATGCAAAATGGCTCAGTCCGATAGGTTAAATGATAAAAGTGAAACTAATAAAATAACTTTTGTTTCAGAGGATGGTGTATGGCTGGAGGTTGTGAGGGGAGAAAGAATTAGGTCAAACCTCACAAATGGTAATAAAAGTTTGGCCAAAATAAAATGTACATTAAATTATCTAAACACCTTTGATGAAAGTTATAAAAAAAAGTTAACTTACTGGGAGGATAAAGAAACCCATATGAAATTTGTCTGTTTGTTCTATAACCTGTACAACTTTGGCTGTGACTTGCTGAGATACGAACATCAGGTCTTACACAGTTACTCAGGAAGTCTGGAAGGTTAGAGACCTCCACCTGTATTTGATGTAAAATATAAATATTACAATAACACATTTTAAGTTTTTTTTATAATTATGTTAGCATTTTTCTTTAAGGTTTTTTTATAATTATGTTAGCATTTTTCTTTAAAAAACCTATAATAAAAAATCATTGGTGAGAAAGTCAATCTGGAGTCTAGATTTGCTCTATTTTTGTACCAAAATTTTAGAGAGTGCAGAATTTGGCAAATTATCGACTTCAGTCTGAACTTTAGTTCTTGTAAGAACTTACAGAAAACTGGCTTCAGAATTAAAGCTGTATTTTTAACAATTGCCAAATTCTGGACGCTCCAAAATGCTGCAGAAATGAAGTAAATCTGGACTCCAGGTTTCACCACATATTCACCACAACAAGCAAATAGGCCTTAAATGCATCAGTTGTCCTCTGAAAGTTTAAAATATATTATAATTGATCCATTAATATGCGAGCAATTCTGCACAATTCTGTGCACCTGCAACATGGAAAACAGAGCATCTGAGCAAGAAAAACAACTATAAGCAACATTTATATAGCACCCTTCATGCAACGTAACATCTTGGAGTGCTGCACGGTTGGTGGGGCTGGATCCCAGCATGGAAGAAGGGGGTGGGGGAGAGGGAAAGGTGACCATAGGGTAAGTGGTAGGTCATATGGTGGGATTTAATGATAGATAAAGAGGGTGCGAGGCAGGGAGTTCCAGAGGTTAGGGGAGTTGTTGCTAAAGACACGGGTACTGATGGTGGAATGGAGAGGCTGGGGGATGCTCATTAGCTGACCCAAGGGGGCGGACAGAGGAGAGTTGGGTTACATTTAACACATTTTACAAAACAGCTGTAATGGAATACAAACCAGTTTGGGGACTGTGTATGACGTCCACAGAGGCATCAAAAAGGTTTCACTGTAACCACTTTCATAGCCATGGTGATGTAACATGTAGTACTTGGTACGATAAGTAACTGCAGGACGACTATAAAGTAGATGTTTGTTTTCTAAAGGAGGAAAAGCAAAGGACAACTTTCGGATCATGGGTGAAATCAATGGAAAATCAAACTAATAGCAAAAGTCACATCAGTCAGCATTTAATAACTCCATGTGGTAGATATTCCTGACTAATACAGCTTCCCCGTTTTCATTGCCACTGCATGTGTCCTTTACCCATTTGACTATCACTGCCACAATGTTCCTTACCTATTCCTTACCTACTTTTATTATCAGCGTGTTGCTGAAATACTGCAAATTAGACATCTTTACATGATCTTATTATCTCTATCATTCCATGGTTTCTCACTAAATCCACACTGTTGTTCAGTAAACATCAATTTAACAAAGCATAGTGCAATGTTGTGTTAAGTACCATAGGTCACAAGATTGATCCTTTCTTGGATCCTACATGTAGTACCTTGTATTGATCAGTATTAATCTTTGTTTGTCAATTGTCAGCCCACGTTGATACCCTGTCAACCGCTGCCTCTTCTGATTCCACAGTTCCCTCCAATTTGATGTCAGCTGCCAATCTAACTATCTTAGATTGGGTCTGCAAATCAAGGTCATTAAAATATAGGAGGTATAAAATGCTAGTATTGCGATTTATGATTCTGAAATATCTCAAAACCTCTTCATACAGCGAGACCCTTGAGGAACTCAACTTACTATTTCTCCATTCCAATCTAACTCCCGTAATGAAGACTCTCTGTTTCCTTCTCTTCAGGCAATTCTGAATCTTTGTCCGTGTTTTGCCCTTCCTTGATACCCAATGACCACAACTTATGAAGGAATCTTTCATAAGGTACTTTGTCAAACAGTTTTGCTAGAGTCTAACCAGCTAAAATGTGGCATTGAGACCACTGACTGGCAAGCTTTCCTGCTGTTTGTCCAGCTAGGATCACCCTATCCATTAGGGCTTTGGGTTGTTGGATTTTCAGGAACTGAGTGGGAAGAATCCCTGACCCAGTGATTCGTCTGTCTTTCCAAGTCCTGCGATGAGCCATCCTGTCTGTGCTGTCATCAGCAATACCCTGCAATACTGTGTACCTGCCTGGCTCAGGAACTAGATTGCCAAGACCGCGATAGAGGGCTGGGTCCATCCTGAAATTCCATTGCCAAACATGTCACCTTGCAGCCAGTTCAGCTCCAGGGAGACCTCCCACCCCACCCCGAGGAGGTTAGTCATTAGTTGGTGATTCGATATTTGACAAGCATGGGTTTGAGCCCTCAGTAGGTAGATGGCAGGTACTAGCAGCTCCCTGCAAGCTTTCTAGTGGGCAACACAGCTCAGCATGAAATGTGTGAGAACATTGCCACCGTCTTCCTGTCTGCAGCTCGGACACACATTTCTTCCCATTGAGCAATGGTTCCACCAGTTGGAGGTGCGGAGCTTGAGCAGTAGCTGCTTACCTCTATGCAGGCCAATCAAGGTGGATTCCAAGTCCTGGATGTACGAACGTGTGTTCACAAACTCGGACTCCAGGTAATGATTTCCAGCAGCTGTTGCCCCAAGCCTCAGAGTTTCCTCATCAGCTATCTGGCGGACATCTGCCTTCAGCGTGGTAGGAGGACCTTTACAGGATAGAGTGTGGTGTGCCAGGCACCTTAATGTTCTTGAGGTCCAAGTGCAATGCCGCGTACCAGGCTTACTCAGCACCAGCTGCTTAATCCAGGTCCTTATGTGAGGGCCTTTGGCAAACAGGCGTGTCCGCTGTGAAGCTGACTCCACCTCCGTGGTGCTCAGTGCCAGGTCAGTATAACAATAATAATAATAATCCTTGCATTTGATATAGCGCCCTATCACGTCTTCAAGACGTATCAAAGCGCTTCACAGAATATACTCTAAAGTGAATTGACCATATATTTTGTGTATGAAACACAGCTGCCAATTGTGCACAGCAGTGTCCCACAAACAGTCATGGATTGAGTGACCAAATTATTTTTATTTATTTTGAAGGAATTATTACCCCAGAAAAGCGATCCGCCAATCGACTAACAACCGGGTTCCTACTTACTATTAGGTAAACAGAAGCATGTGTGTGTGGAGTAAGGAAACTTGCCCAACGTTTCACCCTGCTGGGAATTGAACCCAGGTTCTCTAACCACTGAGCTACAGGACTCCACAGTGTAGGCCAGAGCTCTCCTTACCCTGCAGTCGTTTCCCATGTTTGCCACAAATCCACCTCACTGCTTAATCCTGGACTTTGCAGGATGTTGGGTGAAGACTTGCTTGGCTGTGATACAACTCATGATTAAATTGCTGAATTAAACCTATGAATAAACTCTGTCAAGGCTCACACATAATAAAAGCCCATTTGGGCAAAGTACTGGCAAGTCATGGGCAATACCCCAGCATGAGTCAATGTCTTCGAAGAAGAGAGGATATGATTAAGTACTTAAGATTTGGTTCTCAAATTGTAGTTCCATAACCAAATTCTTAAATTAGTACCCAGGAGATATAAGAATTGAAAAATTGGTACAAATATTTCTTTTGCTCCCCATCCCCCAGAGGATCGAATTCAAGATCCTCATCCTCACCTACAAGGCCATTCACGGCCTCGCTCCCTCCTACCTCTCTGACCTACTATCCCCCTACTTACCTGCCCGTACCCTCCGTTCCTCTGGCTCCGGTCTGCTCCACATCCCCCGCCCCAACTGCCCTACCATCGGTGGCCGGGCCTTCAGCCTCTCAGCCCCGAGGCTCTGGAACTCCATCCCTCAGTGCCTTCGCCGCCTCCTCCCTTTCCTCCTTCACGGCCGGTCTCAAGACCTTTCTCTTTGACCGTGCCTTCAGCTCCCCTCTCGACTCTCTACCCCCTCCTTGCTCCCTCCCTTCCCTCCCCTTACCCTGACCATTTCACCCCTGCTCGGGTCCTGACCCAACTGTACAGCGCCTTGGGACGTCCTCCCGATGTGAAAGGCGCTCTATAAATGGAATCTTGTTGTTGTTGTTGTTGGAACAAGGATTGGAAATGGTTATAATTCTGATAGCAAAATCAGGAGGAATCCTTTACAAAGAGCTTTTGTGACATAAATTGAAACCCCCCCAAAAAATCTTCAATGCCATTATGGTCATTTCAACCCAACCACATCTCTTTCATCTCTCCCCAGCTCAGGTGTCTAGCCAACTGTGTGAGGCATTTTGTGACGTCTTTCCAACGTCTGAAAATAAGATCATGATTTGTGAACGAAGGATGCCAGTATTGCATTCCTGAAAGTGCACTTATTTATCAATGATGTAAAAGCACGATAGAATTTAAATTATTAAACAGTTAAAAACAATTTACCTTCTGTTCCCCTGCTCTGCAGACGCTTGTTCAGTTCATCTCCTTTATTCTACAAAAAAAGGAAGATAAAATACTGAGGTGATGCATTTCAATGTAACAAATTTGTGATTACCATGTGTTCTGCTTCTGAAAGATTAAAAGATGAAAATGTCAGCCTGGCTTAATTGGTCACACTCTCACATCTGAGTCAGAAGGTTGTGAGGCGAGAGCACTATTAACCAAACTGCTGCAACCATTCCCAACAATGCTGAGGGGTAGAAGCAATGAAAAGTCAGCTCCTGCTTTGTTTCTTTTAAATAAACTACTGAGACTTCCACACATGCATGGACACAGGAGCAAAAGTTAATTAACATTAACCAAACGGGAACTAAATTATTTGTTTCTTCAGCCACATACTTTTGGATGATTCAGTGAATGGTTGGAAAAAGTTTAAACTGGCTTTCAAACCTTCTCTTCACACGTGCAGCCCAAATCATCCACAACAGTTGCAGCTGCAACAGGAAAGGATGGTTTGGAGATTTCATCTGGCATGGATGGTCTGAATGAAGGGTTCCGCAAAAGATGGTTCATACTACCATGGGTTCCATTATTAGGTGCTGGAGTTAATCCAAGGAGGTCTGAAAGTAGAAAAAGATTAACACATAAGAAGTTATTTAACAAATTTCCCAAATTAAATTCATATGATAAGCGTCAGCAACCATAAATGCAGTTTGGTTTGCTGACAAGTGAAAATAACTCAAGAATATACAAACTCAAAAGCTTCAGGTAACTGATGCAAAGAATGTAAAGGAGGTCTTTTTGTTATAGTCTCCAAGGCTACATCACACCACAGCACACAACTAGCTGGTGCACGACGGTGCTCTGACATGTACTTTTTTAAAAAATAAAGCAAACATGTGCGGATGAATTTTGTCGTTATCAAGGGGTTGGGATAGTAAGGTTGGGAAACAAAACACTTTGTTTTGGTCACAGAGTGTCAAGATCAAGTGCTCTCATATGATATATAGCATGAGTAGATGCTAAGCAAAGTCCTGCCTCAACGATGTGTCTAATCCTTCACATCAGAAGAACACCCATTATTGCAGTATGACACAACAGCCACCCTGTGGTCTTGCTGAATACCATATACTGTCAGACGTTTAAACCAGGCATAAGAGTATTACCGTGCGCTTGCTCTACTTTTTTCTGATCTTAGTGACCACAGGAATCAAGCTCAATTAGTCACTAATAAATTTAGATTTGCAGACGGTTTTAAAAACTTTGTTCTATGTTCAATAAATCTTAACTAAAGCACTGTTCCTCCAGCCTGCGTCACATATTCTACTCCTGGAGCAAGAATAACTTTTAGCAACAAAGAAAAATGTTCTCAGATTAAAAGTCGAAGTATGCACACAGTGCTTTGACCTGAAGATAACAACTAAGAAAACTTTTACAGTAATGAAAAAGCAAAAAGCTGAGGCAACAATGAAATGAAGAGTTTTACCCCCGCTATTTAATTCCCTCTTTGAGGACTCACTATTTAATTTCCCTTTAAAGTTAATTATTTAATTCCCCTGAGAAACTGCTAATTAATTTTCCTGTTGAGAATGTCTAAACCAGACGTTTTTTTAAAAAAAACAAGTACAGCTCTTTTAGAAGTTGTTAATTCAATTCTTTCCATCAACCTCTACAAAAGCTACATAATCATTGCTAAAAAAAACATAAAAGTGGGTTCCATTTCATACTTAATATCCGGTGTAGAGATCTTTCCCTTCATTTCTGTGACAGAACGCATCAAAGGATTTTGAAACATGCTAAAAATATAGGTTTCCCGTAAAGTGTGTTAAATGTGCTTTTGCTCTCGTTTTTTATACATGTGAAGACTTGAAAGAAGAACTTACCACACATAACATTATACAGTTCAATATTTTCAAAGGGTGGCACTTTTGTTCTATGTTTAAAACTAGGACCATGGCCTATGAAAACAGTCTGCAGAAACAATAGAGCAAGTGAAACTTAAGTCATCAATATATTGCACCAACATAGCATGTACACTATAAAAATAGTTAAAAAAGAGTTGCTCTAACCAAGGCAACATAGGAATAAAAATGTTTTAGGATATAAAAAGAGCATTAGGTTCAACAAGCATGTTCCTTTTTGATAGCTCTTAACCTCTCCCTTCTCACCAAATCCCTTCTCTTCCAAAAACTCACCTGGGATATGTTTTATGCCTCTTTGGTCACTAACATTTATAGTGGGTTTTTATAACTGGATTTCCATTTCCTACCATGATAACAAGGTGTCAAATATCGGGTTTTGAGGCAACCTGTATTATTCTTATGTACCTGTGATACTTATTGGCAAAGGTTTAGGGACAGCACCTGCCTGACCTCTTATCCAGAGAATGGTATGTGATGAAGAGGCTTAATTATGTAGACAAAAAGGAAGAAATACAGAGTTCCAAGTGGTTCAATGAATAAATGCACTAAGGAAATCAGACAAGAAAAGTCCAAGGTTGAATGTGCTTTTAGTGAACTAATGGATCTTACTGGGGACAACAATGGGTATCAGAGTTCGCTGGTCTTCAGTGACCGGGTATCGACTTTGACTCAGTTTTAATCTCGCAAGAGGAAGGTAGTTTATTCGCTGTCATTAGTTCGCGGGATTCAATCAATTACAATATTGGTACAGCCATTTACTGGCATTTTGCAGCACTGAAAAAGCCGGTAAAGGCCGATAAGGGCATTGCAATTACACTTATCTGGAAATTCCAGCCGGGATTTTAGTATAATTCTCTGTAGTCAAATAATTCTACGCTGAAATATAAAAAAAATGAAAAGGCAAGTTTGTGCATATAAAAAGGAGAGTAGCTACACAGATAAGACAAGTTACAGATCAACAATTAACAAATGGTGTAACAATTACTGTAATTTTCCTACCTGCATACTATTGATCTTATTGTCGTAGCCATGGTCGCCTTGAAAGCTACACCTTCCTGACTTTCTGGTAACATCCATTGGTTTCCTAAACGCAAACAAAATGTCTTTAAAGCATGAAAAGATAGAACAATTGATTACTATAACATTTTGCCATCTAGTCATAATCTGATCTGTTACTGCGGCACACTATAAATCCCACTAGATTGAAATGTATGTTGCATTATTCAGTTATAAGAAAAAGAAGCAAGATTTAGAGCAAGCAGAAGTGAACTAGTTCCATGTGGCTCATTCCTTCAACGGGACACTTTTACAGAAATTACTGAGTTGCTCGCATTCCTAATTCCTGCTTGTTCTCCATTCATAAAACCCTGCTTGGGCAGATTTGTTTACTGTACTTCTTACACCAATTTATTGTAAAATAATTACCACCCACCTACACAATGGGACAGAAACTATTTTGATAGACAGAAGCTACCAGATGCTTACTTTGCTACTGCAAATCGTCACACTCACTTACTGTATTATACATTAGATAGAACCATGAACAGCTGAGAGAAATGCATTTTCATTTGCATTTGATATAGTGTCTTTCATGTTGGGATAATGTTTCAAAGTCCTTCACAGAAATTACTTGTAAAAAAATAATTACCGTAAATTTATTGGTAAGAATTCTGGAGCACTATTTCTTGTGTTACTAATTCACTCAGCCTCTCATTTTTCTGAATAAGCGCACATTATTCGAAAAGAGAAGGGATTCTTGGCCGTTGCCCATAAATCCCCAGATAAGTCAGCACCCTAGACATATCATGGTTACAACAGCTACAAAAAGAAAAGAATGCCATCCACATTCATCCCATGCTTGGTCTTCAAATTGTTACATTAAAACAGAAATACCCGAGGTTATTTGTGCAAAGCAAAAGCAAATTACATCTCTCTACAATACTGTCCAATACCTAGAACTGTTGAATGCCACACCCAATAGATTCCTTCCAATAGACCCAGTCATATTCCTTCTTTCCTGGATGCAAGTGTAATTTGTTGTTGTTGTTATTGTGGTTAGGTTTAAATATAACATAATTACCTTGCCACCAGCCACTTCCTCTCAACCATTAAATGGACATCTTCAATTCTCCTATTATTGGCGTAATGCAAGCGCTTTGGAAGATTCATCTTCAGATAGGGTTTGAAATGCTGATCAGGCTTCCTACACTTAAGAAGAAAACCAAACACAGAAAATTACAAGATGTAAGTGGCCTTGCTGTAAAGCTCCAGTTTTCAAAGTTAGGATCTAGCAATAAGTTACAAGTGCGCCGAAGTGTGAAGAACTGACAGCACAAACAGCAAAACTCTAGCATACTGTCCACCATCTAGAACTGTTGAATGCTACACCAATAGGTGTTACAGTCATATTCCTTGTTTCCTGGATTCAAGCAGCAAATGTTACACTTTTCATTGCTTGAGTTTGAATTTTGTCCAAACTGACAAGAGACATGATCAAATGCAACAGATCTGAACTTGCGAGTGGAATCCATTTGTTGCTGAGACCTTGGTTACAACCCAAAATCACTTTGAATAGAAAGTTTTGTGAATTGACGTGCTGTAGAGCACCCTCTTCACAAGCGAGAGAACCTGGATTCGATTCCCGGGCAGAGCGAAACATTAGGCAAGTTTCCTTACTCCACATGCCTTTATTTACCGAGCAGTAAATAGGGATCCGGTTGTTAGTCAATTGGCAGATCGCTTTTCTGGAGGTAATAATGCCTTCAAAAAATAATAATAATAATTTGGTCAATCAAACCATGACTGTTTGTGGGAGACTGCTGTGCTCAATTGGCTGCCGCATTTCTCTCACAAAATATACAGTCAATTCACTTTACAGTATATTCTGTTAAAGCGCTTTGAGATGACTCGAAGACATGATAAGGTGCTATATCAAATGCATGGATTATATTTACTATACTTAATGGACCCTGGGATTGGGTTATCAAGCTAGAATGTAATTTAAAGGTTCAGCAGATGTAAAACCTTGAGGTGAAAGAGCAAATTTACAAAAAGTCCCCTGGATACCAGAACTAGTTTTCATTTTATAAATGAATAAAAAGAGTAATAAAAAAAATCAAATACACTTAACCAACATCTATTGTGCTATGATTGACTCAACAGTGTCCTATAGTAAGGATTAAATCCAATTAATAGATCATGACTCAGAGGACATGCAAGACACTGCAAATCTCTGATGTAATCCTTCAATGATCACATCACGCTGTGGATTGCAAGTCTATTAACTATAGAGAGTGGACTATCCCATCATTTTACTTTCCTTTTGAAAGACTGGCTTTTAACTCAACAGCAAGGCATACTTACAGTAAGGTTGGCTACCACAGCCTTGGGATCATCTGTTAAAAAATAAATTATATTTTAGAATAGGGCAGTTCAATTCAACCAATGTGACTGACTGTGGATACAATACAAATGTACATTTAAATAGCCACTTTCACGCCAGGAGGATATTACAAGGATGTCTTGCACAACTTTACTTAGATGCTCAAGTAAATCACAAACCAAAAAATGACAGAGTGATAAGAATATCATGTAGTTAAACAGAGAAACAAGCAGCTAGGCATTGGCATAATAACTTCTTGCACATGGAGAAAACTGTTTTGATTATCCAGGGAAGTCTTCAAACTCTCAATCTCAATCTCCACCAAACCCTGTGTATACAGATTGCATCTTATCTCCCACTTGGGAGGTCAGATTGGCAAACTATACACACTGGGTCTGGTGGAGATGAAAATTGAGAATTTGTGGATTTCTCTGGATAATAAATACCATCAGCAAAACAGTTTTCAGCATGTGCAAGAGAACCAGCTTCACAACCTACTTCAAATTTAAGCCTGGATTTAAGAATTTGACAAATTCTGAATGCTTTGAAATGCTAAGAGAGTGAAGCTAATCCCAGGTGAAATTTCTAGCCCTTTGGGTCTGAGCACGAGCATCAGTCAGGACTTCACTACAACAAGTTATAGTTGATAAAATTTATATTTTAAATTACAGGAGTCCTGTAGCTCAGTGGTTAGAGCACTCGCTTTGCAAGCGAGAGACCTGCGTTCAATTCCAGGCAGGGCGAAACCTTGGGCAAGTTTCCTTACTCCACACGCTTAATAATAATCCCTCCAAAACCAAAAACAATAATAAATTGGTCATTTTCAATCTACGACTGTTTGTGGGACATTGCTGTGCGCAATTGGCTGCCGCGTTCGCCCACAAATATACAGTCAATTCACTTTACAGTGTGTTCTGTGAAGCGCTTTGGGACGTCCTTCCGACGTGAAAAGCGCTATATCAAATGCAAGGATTATTATTATTATTATTTGTATACATCTGTATTAGTATCTGATAAAATCACCAAATGGGGAGTATGAGTTCAATCGATTAGAAATGTAGTGTATGAGAAACTAGTTCCTTTGGTTTTTTATGGGCAAGCACACAATAAGCAGGATATACCTTATTAGATCACATTATGCTAACACTAACTACTATTCACAACTTATTTGATTGCAGCTATGTCGTAAAAAGCTTCTCGTTTGGTTTATACAGTAATTACAGAATATATAAGTTCCTCAATCAATGCAAACTAGTCTTATAGTAAATAGACAAACATTTCTAAATAAAAATACAGTATTTGCAGAAAAAAATAGATTTACTCTTCTTTTTGTGAGTCTATTTATATAAGAATTGCACAACTACATACTTAAAGAACACTGTTGTATAATTTTCTCTCCACCGTAAGTCATTTGACAATTACTTCAGTTAACACAGGTTTCCATTGTCCATTCATGAGTTTGCCTCTCTTGAACTTCTGCTGCAGGGAAAATTTTTACAGGGAGAGTTGCAGAGAGGCTAATCTGACCAGTTTAATGGATCAGAATTCCTAGGTTCTATCCAGGCAAATAAAGGCAAAAAACACAGATCAGTCTACAATTGTAGACCATTGTTCCGTGGAGATTGGCTATGCCATTTGCCTGTAAATACAGTCACTACACTTCACAATAAAAAACCTGTGAAATGTTTTGAGATGATTTGACAATGTGGTAAGGCGCTACAACAAATGCAAGGATTACTATTATTACTACATATATAGTAGTATACTGCATATTATAATAATAGTAATACATTGTGTAATTGCCTAAGTTGTATATGCACCCAAGTGCCATTCAGTTTCCTACCAAAAAGCACTTAGATTTATTTGCACTAGTCTTATTTTATGAAGCAAATCATTTTCTAACTCGTAACACCACTACTGCACATACCAGCTACATTGAAATGCAGGAAATAAAGTTCTGACCCGTTAATACATTCTCATTTACCGACTGCATTGATGTACGTACACGCATTGTAAATTATTGATTAAACACCAACTCCCTGCTTGTCAGCCTTCCCAACTCTTCCCTCAACAAGCTGCAGACCATCCAGAACTCTGCAGCTCATGTCCTCTCCTGCACCAGGCTCCATGACCCCATCACCCCCACCCTTGCCCAGCTCCACTGACTCCCCATAATAATCCCTCCAAAAAACAAAACAATAATAAATTGGTCATTTTCTATCTACGACTGTTTGTGGGATATTGCTGTACGCAATTGGCTGCCACGTTCGCCCACAAATATACAGTCAATTCACTTTACAGTATATTCTGTGAAGCGCTTTGGGACGTCCAGAAGACGTGAAAAGCGCTATATCAAATGCAAGTATTATTATTATTATCCTCCCTGCCCTCCAACCTCCCTGATCCAAACCCCCCCAAACCCCCTCTACTCCAACCCCCAATCAAGTCCAAATCTCTAACTGTTTCACCTTGGGCCTTCCTCCCGACGTGAAAGGCGCTTTATAAATGTAATTTTGTATTTTTATAAATCAATTTACCTGCAACTCATACTTCACGTAAGTCGTATTAAATGTTATTGTCCCGACTGTTACGATTTACGTGAATTTTATGGTACTTACATTTGACACTGTTACTGTATCTGGAGCGAATACGCCCAAGAGATCCAGGGAACAAGATAATGTCATCAACATTATGAAGGTAATTGCTCAAATACTCAGTTCTTTCACAGGCTGCGTCTTCCATTCCTTTAAGATAAATCAAAAGCAACTTTGTCACAATGCATATGATTTTGTTGAACAGTTCTGCAGTAAACCATTCATTTTGAGATTAATGGACAGTAACCATAAATTCATGCTGAAATCCAACATTAGCTAGCTCCTGTCCAATTCTCTGGTATAAATATTTCAAAGCAATTTCTAACTGGCATATATATGTCAAACTGATGTCTAGTTGGTAATTAAGCAGGATTTTAGAGGTTACCCTATTTTGTTGTGTACCTGCCAATTTATATCAGTTCAATATATAAAATCTTAGCCCTTTCATTTCAGAAGTCCTTGACTTTTAGTTTTTGTGCCAGGTTACTTAACATGAGGATTTTAGAAATTCCCTACTTCAAGGTTGAGACTGCTTCTCACACAATCTCCAAGCATAATAATTAAAACAGCCAAGAAATCTGTTTTCAATTTATCACTGGAATAACCTTCACTTGGTCTTAATGGAATGTATTTTTGGCCTACCTTAATGATGTATTATCTTAATATTTTACTTTCTTTCTCTAATTTATTTCTTTCCCTTAGTGAAGAACTCCACTAGAATCAACCACTTTATGAAGCTAGTTGGCTTTCCTACAATTGCTAAGAGCATGTGAATGGCATTGTGTGGCATTTGTCATGATAAAATACATTATAACAGCTGATGGATTGCAGGTTATTGTTCACACGTGCAAGTAATTCAGAGGTTGGACTGCTATTCCATGCATCTGTGAACCAATTCCCGAAAACCAGCAGAGACTTGGATAAGGACAACCCACAAAGCCGGCGCAGGCCAGTACTTTGGGTTTCTTAGTGGTCTAAGCTGACGTTTATGATTTTGGATCATAAACTTTCAATGATGCTTTACAAGCCAAATCGGTATCCTTTAAAGCAGTGATAGCCAACCTTTATATGGTCGGCTGACAAAATAAATTTTCTTCATTTAATATTTTTTGATTTATGCCAAGAATAAATCAAGAAAAAAGTGAAAACACACCACTTATCAAACATGGACCTACTTTTTAACGCTTTTTAACGGTTTCACAAACCACTTCAGGCCCAAGGGATACAGGTTGGCTACTGCTGCTTTAAAACATCACTTGAGTTTGCAACCCATCGCCCATACTGTGGCCTTGCTAAGGGAAAACCAAGATGGGATGTTGTCACTTTTTCAACTGGGTTTGGGCGTTACCATTATTTAGTCAGGGAGGGAGGGAAGGAAAGAGGTTCGTGTTTCAAAGAATCACATTTTAACTTCATTCCTTAATTAAGTTGGTCCTTTGGCCCATTTGAACTCATCCCTCCAGAATACCCACCCTACCTACCATCATCACACCAAATTGATTTCTGAATGAGTCCAATATTCTGATCTCAAACAGCCTTTCTGGTAACCTGTTCCAGTCGTTGATTACTCGCTGGATAAAGATAAAACTTTCTGGTATCTGTCCTGAAATTGCTTCTTGTAACTCTAAACCTAAGTCATATTGTTCTACCATCTTGTTGCATCCTAAAGTATTGTTCTGGGTTTAAAATGTTATATATCTCTGTCTTCTCTACCCTTAGTGGCAAGAGCAATGCCACCCCATCCTGAGATCAACTTCTTACCATGGTCTCCAAGAAAGATGATGTTAACACATCGGTGGAGTTTCATTTGTTTCAGGCCATTCATCAGCTGCCCTACAATTCTGTCTGTTGTACGAAGAGCTTCAGTCACCTAAAGATTGAAAAAAAACTGTTACAAGAAACCATGCGTTTCCCTTTAACCGTTTAACAAGCCTGCAGCTTCACTCAATTGGGCAAATTTGTTGGTGAAGATCAATCTGCAGAGTTCTAGCAACTGGAAATATTGGTAGAGGCAATATTGCCTTGACAAAAGCCTGTCAAACTTGGTTTAAAGGCTAGCCTTTTACTGAGCTACACTCATTATCCATTAAAAAACATCAGACTTTGAAAATATATTAAATCTCTCTCTGTATATATGATATAATACAATGAATAGAGGGGATATAAAAAACCTCTGATGCCATTTCACCATATTTCCTCTTTCATGATTCGAATAAAATTTTTATTGGAATGGAACTAACGGTGTAGTGCGAGAAAACAACACAAAAAATAAGTTCACTTACTGTTCCCTGGAGTTTTAAAGGTGCTTTTAAAAGGATCTTTAATTGGACAATGTGAAATTCTCCTAGGATTCCCAAAATAAATATTTTAACATAGAACTAAAATTAAAAGCAGGGAGTATAGCCCTAACACAACAAAACTACATCATGAATGTGGCAGGAGTGGCTACTCATTCCCACCCACTTGAATTGGTTTTATTTCCCAAGCAGCATGTGCTACAACAACAGATGGTCCCACTCACCGTTGTGTCCATCACCAAGATCTGACTCACAGACACAACAGTTGGATTGTGATCCAAATCAAACATTTGAATCCTAAATAATAATTCTTCCATTTGATATAGCACCTTTCATGTTGGGAGGATGTCTAAAGGTCCTGCCATTTACCGTAAAATGTTGACTATATATTTTGTGGATGAATGTGGCAGACAATCTGCACACAGGAAAGTCTTTCAAACAGCCATGAAGTAAAGGACCAATTTTATTTGGGAGATTATTGACCTGGGCACCAGGAGAAATTCCTTTCTTTTTTCATGTAGTGCCATGGGACCTTAAGCCTCCACAAGAACAAGCAGATAGGACCTCGGTTTAATGTCTCATCTGAAGGACGTACCTTCGACATTGCAGTATTCCCTCAGCCCTGTACTGGAGTGCTAGCCTAGACTACGTGAGTTCAAAGTCCTGACATGTGGCTTGAACCCACAACCTTCTGACTCAGAGACAAGTGCTACCAACTGAGTTAGACTGACAATTTAAATAATTTTATTTAAACAGCCCCTGCACCCCACACACACACCTCCTCCACGGGATTAAGGGTAGGTAAAAATCTGCCTGCAATTTGCAGTTCTTCTTTTATATTTTAAAAAAAAATTTAATTTCTTGATATCTGTTTCCATAATTTGTGTAAAATACACCTTTACCTTTTGAAGTTTACCTAATGGTTTTCCTCAATGTTCTCACACAAGAGAGCACTATGCAGTGCGAAGAGTCTGTATGTTATAGCTGCGCTGAATTCAAAGCCAGTCTTGGAACATTTTAACCCAGTGACAAATATTGTAAATTGCAAACATCTGAAGTCACTAGTTCAACCTAACTGTTTTGCACATTCATAAATACTCAGGTTATTTCTCTGAGTAATCCGAGTCTCACCTCAACCAAGTGCTTGTTTTTCCCATTTTCTAATGACTACAATTAAAAGTAGACATTGTCTGTGTAAGACTGGGACAATGGTTCTGTATAACACATACGGTATTGCATTGTATATTGGTGTTTATCATCTGAAGTAATTGAGTAAGTGAAGCCGAGATGGTGTGAGACTGCCCCCTGAGGTAGTCTCACACCACTTGTCTAAATTTGTATCGGGCCTTGTAAAGACAGTAATTGCAGAGATTTTGTTGGTTCAACATGAAAATTAGCATCTAACTGAAGCAAACAATGTAGCAAACTGTCCCATTAGCTAATCTGTCCTGTTAAGTGTCCTAATTAACTCTCCACGGTTCCATAATACGTAGGTCCTCTCGACATGAAAGGCGTTTTACAAATGTAATTTTGTTGTTATTGTTATGATATAGCGCCTTATCACTTCTTTGAGACATCTCAAAGCCCTTCACAGAATATACTGTAAAGTGAACTGACTGTATATTTTGTGGGCGAAACGTGGCAGCCAATTGTATACAGCAGTGTCCCACAAACAGTCGTGGATTGAGTGACCAATTTATTATTTTTTTTTGAAAGAATTATTACCCCCAGAAAAGCGATCTGCCAATCGACTAACAACTGGGTTCTTACTTACTGCTAGATAATAATAATAATAATAATAATAATAATCCTTGCATTTGATATAGCGCTTTTCACGTCTTCTAGATGTCCCAAAGCGCTTCACAGAACACACAGTGTAAAGTGAATTGACTGTATATTTGTGAGCAAACGCGGCAGCCAATTGCACACAGCAATGTCCCACAAACAGTTGTGGATTGAAAATGATCAATTTATTATTGTTTTGTTTTTTGGAGGGATTATTATTAAGAGTGTGGAGTAAGGAAACTTGTCCAAGGTTTCGCCCTCTGCCTGGAATTGAACTCAGGTCTCTCACTTGCAAAGTGAGTGCTCTAACTACTGAGCTACAGGACAGATAAACAGAGCCGTGTGCAACAACAACAACAACAAGATTGCATTTATAGAGCGCCTTTCACGTCGGGAGGACGTCCCAAGGCACTGGACAGTGGGTCGGGACCCGAGCAGGGGGGAAATGGTCAGGGTGAGGGGAGGGAAGGAGCGAGGAGGAGGTAGAGAGTCGAGAGGGGAGCTGAAAGCACGGTTGAAGAGAAAGGTCTTGAGACCGGCCTTGAAGGAGGAAAGGGAGGAGGCGGCGAAGGCACTGGGGGATGGAGTTCCAGAGCCTAGGGGCTGAGAGGCTGAAAGCCCGGCCACCGATGGTAGGGCGGTTAGGGTGGGGGATATGGAGCAGACTGGAGCCAGAGGAACGGAGCGTATGGGCAGATACGTGGGGTGTTTGTAGGTCGGAGAGGTCGGAGGGTGCAAGGCCGTGAATGGCCTTGCAGATGAGGATGAGGATCTTGAATTCGATCCTCTAGGGGATGGGGAGCCAGTGGAGGTGAGCGAGGGTGGGAGTGATGTAGTCGCGAGGATGGGAGTGATGTGGTCGCGTGCAGTAAGGAAACTTGCCCAACATTTTGCCCTGCTGATAACCCAGGTTTCTCGCTTGAGAGGTGAGTGCTCTAGCCACTGATCTACAGGATTTCCTATCATAACATACAAAGTGCTCATTATCTAGCTTTTTAGAGACTTCTCCCGACCCCTTGTCTAGGAATGTTGGCGCTCATGTAGTTTTGTTAACACATGAACTTTGGCTACTTTTGTTAAGCGGACTTTACATCCGCTTTTAATGGAAGGGCAAATGCTGGTCCTATTGTTTGGGTGTTAATCTCCATCAAGCCGTGGTATACTTGACCTGTAGTGCTTGGTACAGGCTGCCAAAATGTTGGGAAATGTTTCATTCCCTAGCACTAACATGAGAAATGTTCCATAAGCATTTACATACTACATTTCATGTCAGAAGGATATCCGAACATGAAAAATCAGCACAGCACATTAAACGAGGAATATACAGGGGTGCGTGTATTTATATATATATACAGTATATTCAAAAAGATAATTATATGGTGCTGAGGATTACAGAGATTAAAAGCCAAAAAATAAATTCATCTCCTCTGTGAAGTTTCAGAAAGTTGCAAGGTGTAGCAAGCAATAATAAAATGTCTGGTTTGAGCAGCCAGCTCAAAATATGCTGAGAAGACAGCAGCTTTGATTTGAAAGCTAGCCAACTTGTGGAAAGGGCCTTTTTTTTTACTCTCAACATGTTTTTAAATTAAGTACCAGACTGTATAATACTCTAGGACAAGGTCACTGCAAAGCCTTCTCCTGGATCATTGCCATAAAGGAGTGCAGAAGGAACCCGTTATAACATACTTTAATGTAGCGCAGGCCTGTTTAGAGTATGGGTATACCACATCAGGATAACTACTCGTGCTGACTTGGGACTGCAGCTTTTGGTAGGATTAGTTCTTCCTGCAAATAGGAAATGTCAACAGTGACAACATTTGGCTTAGAAGCGGTTTCCCTGTAACGGTGCTTGTTATATCTAGATCTAGGCGGTTATTTTGTACGCAAAGCATGGTTGTCTATGGTTATCTTCTCTCTCCCCCAGGCTCGGCATCATGCTCCTCCACTGTCAAGCATTCTGGAACACTACCCTGCATCAGGGCCAGTACATAAATCATAGAATCATAAAATATTACAGCACCGAAGAAGGCCATTCGGCCCATCGTGCCTGTGCCAACTCTTTCGAAGAGCTATCAATCAGTCCCACTCGTTCTACATGTCCGTGTCATTTTTTTCCTTTTCAAGTATCTGTCTAATTCCCTTTTGAAAGCTGTTATTAAATGCAAGTTGTTGGTGTGTTAAAACAGGATTCAACTCTATTTACCCCCTTTATCTACAGTGTTAACAGTATAGTCTGCACTCTTAAAATGTTCATTTTAATAAGCACTTTTAAATTCTTTGTAACAATGTTTATTCTATGAAAAAGGAACAGCAGTGCGTTTCTGGCGTAATACACGGGAAATCAGTTTTTCTTTTTGAAAAAGAAACTCAAAGGTGGTTAGAGAGAGAGATTCAGGAGTACGGATTTTGTTATGATTAGTTCAGTATGGTCTGCTGCTTCGAGAGAAAGTTCCTCCTTCCCCCAAGGCTGGAAATTGAACACAGAACAACCAAGAACAAAAAAGGCTTCTTTTTTTCAAAAAGGAACCAAACGCATCTGGTTAGTATTAACACTTAATTTCCACCAGCAGCACCATGAGCAGGTGTTCCACATGTGGTAAGCTTTGCCCCTCTCAGTGCCCCAACTTAATACGAGCGTGCTTTACTAACCTCTGAGCTGAATGGTCCAAATCTATGACCGTAACCATCTGGCTGTTCCGAGTAGAAAGCATAGGCATAGGGCCTGAAATTGAAGCAATTGGTATGATTAAGTGTTTTTTTCTCTTCAGGCCACTGAATGAAATCTGGCTCCACTTTTCTCACTGAAGGATTTCTGCAGTGAGGCTTGTAACAAAGTTTGTCTATTTCGGTGTCTTAGCCAACCAAACCACCCAGTTATTGATCCCTTATCCTGTATTCTATCTTCCTTTTCTATCCCTTCTCAGGATCAAATAAAATACATTCCAAAAAGTAGACTTCTTGCTTTGAATTCTGTAAGTTTTAAAATGACCGATTTTAGATCTTAAAGGAAGTACAATTTCTTCACCCATTCACAGAAGATCTTACGTATCATTCACATGCAAAACAGACACATTTGCTTGCAATCTTCATGTGTCCAACATATATGCACCCTCTTCTTTGGGAACTGCTAAACAAGCTAATTCATTATCACACATTCGCTAAAGGAACTGGGGGAGAGAAAGATGATGATAAAACGATGGTTTCATTCTTGAAAAAAGTTGTTTTTGGGGTGCAAAAGAGTGAGGTACGAAACATCAGAATTCAAACACATAAAGAAGGCATGCTCTTGAAATGTAAAATAGCAAAAGAGCAACCAAACAAACCATTAACATTGTAATATAAACAGCAGCCCTAAAGGAAGATGGTTAGGAGGGTTTATTCATCACATAGTCTTGAATTTACTGACCTTTGGTCATTGTGCCCTTAGAATGAGATTTCCCCCCTTTATAAACAATTGTCACCAAGATTGGTAAATTACTGTCCAGATGAAAATAAGACCATACCACCCATCCTCCCCACCCTCATCTTTAAACATTAAAAATAAAGTCTAAAAATATAATTTAAGAAAAATCTTTTTTTCTGTGCAAATCCAATTGAACCACATAGGGCCAACAAGCACACACACAATGTATTATGTAATACATATTCCCACAAACAACAGATGCCCATTTGTTGTGATTACTATGTTCTTGGGAACTGTGAAAAGCAGCACACTAACCAACAGAACCATTTTGTGAGAGAAAAACAAATATACAATGGCAAGACTGTGCTCGGTTGGCTGATGTCAGCCAGGGCAGCAGTACGAGTGCTACAATTGGCCTCAGTCCCTGGGTCTGAGAGAGGAACGTCAGCCAAGGTTCGCCCTCCTGATCGCTATCCAGTGACCCCTGATAGAAAGTGCACATCCCTATGCAAGAAGAGCTCTGCTCAGATTCCTCCCATTGTACAGACTGACACTAGATATTTTCCAGCTTCAAACATGAAAGAAGGCTACTTTGGCCAAGGCACCATGGGAGGATACGATGGGAGGAGGGGAAAAAATTGGAACATGCAAAAATAAACACAAAGACCATGCAATACTTAAGGGATCTGCAATCCTAAAGAGTCCATCTCGTGAGGGCGGAGTAAGGATACATAAATGATCAAAAGAGAGGAGATCAGATCAAGCATGGAGACTTTATACTTTTTAAAAAATTGTAATTGATTGGTCTAGTAGCATCTGTGGCTAATCTGGTTATGATGACTGACTGAAATCAACACATATTCAGCAAAGACACCATCCATGCCTCAATTAATGTATATGGAGAGCCCTGCCCAATATGTGGTTCGATAACAGCACAAGGAAAAGCAAATTAGGTGGAAATAAAACCGTCCACACTAAATCCACATTGGATATTAAAAACGAAAAGCTTTATAGATTAATTGGTGCAATTTTAAGGCAACAATTTTTTCTTGGAAATCAAGCCACAGTTTATGTCATCTGAATCTCTCATTGAGATTTCTACCTTGTGATCATTCTCACTTACAAAGTCCATCATTATTGTATGTATTGTTCCTAAATCTTTTGAAACAATCAATGAATACAAAAACAAAGTGTGTAGCATTTAATCCCACATACATGCAGGTCTTCTTATAGCCCAATTTTGCTAATGCACAGCACAGACAATTGAGTTGCTTTCTGAAAGAAATATCATTCAATCCAGTTTCTTAACTCAAGGCACCCGATGTCTCTTGGCTTCAAAAATGCAACTTGTAAATAAACTTCAAAATAAGCAAGCAATTTCTAATTTTAACAAAAATCTATTATGCATGCTAAACATCTCCAAATAATACAAGTTTATTTTTTGGCCAGTACAAATGAGTTTTAGCTCCAATTATTTGCAACCAAACATTTGGGCTTAACACTGAATTTGGCCTAAGGCCCAAACAATTTAACATCAAAATGAGTATCCAGAGTTTGGAAACTTAACACACAGATATCCATGATATTGTGTTGATCTGCAGTCAGCCAGGAAAACCCTGCTGAAGTCTATCCACTTTATAGAGGCTAACATAGGCTGAATGCTAAAAAATAAGTGATCACTTAAAGTGAAGAATATTATAAAAACGTGCCCAATGACCGCTATTCTTTAGCAATCAACAACACCCTGCATTTATATACAGCAGTGCCTTTCATGCAGGGTAGATTTTTGCAGTGCTACAAATGAGCTTAAGAAAGACTCCTATATTACTGCCTCTTTTATCCTCTCTCTTCTCCCCCTTTCCTCAGACTCAGTGACTGTTTTATTTAAAGGCACAGTGAGTTCTAACTATATAGTTTTCCGATCCAAATTACTAATGTAAAAGGATAAGTTGTTATAAATCATGAAGAATGTATCAACTTGTTTTGGATAAAGTTCATTTTTTTCCTGGACAACAATTAAACCTTTTACACTGGTTGTTCTGACTGCACAGATCAGGTTGTTCGAAGTCATTTTGTATTTTTTTTAAAAAAGCACATTTTTAAAATGAAAGGAATACTGGAGGATATAACCTTATAATGGGTTTATCCTTGAATTTTCATTTTAAAAAACAGATTTTCAAGATTTTTATAAATCTATTGCCATGTGGAGGCTGGTCTCGCGTATCTCAGTCACAGAATGCCCACAGCTGACATGTTTGCCTTGGGGTAAATGAACAACAAAATGAAGCAAAATGTGAGCTTTGTGGAGCCCTCGCACCAACCATTCAGATAATTTTATGTTCTTTACAACGTAAAATTATGACGTGCACAGTAAGTATTCGTTTTTGAATTTTTGAATGAGTTATCGCCAATTAAAGGAGATTCACTGCTTGATTTGCACTGTTATATATTGAAAAATAGTTACCTTTCATTATCTGGCAGGCTCAACCATTGAAGTATTGTAAATATCCTTCGCTCATAGGGAATGACACTGCAACAAAAAAAAACACCAGGTTTAATAAATTGCATGTTGTGTATTACAAATAACACCTTTAAAATAACTACATTGATACATCCACATTCAATGTCTGCAATGAACTGCAGCTACATTTTAAAGTTCTGAACAGTTTAGCTATGGGCAGACAGTTTTCCATTGCCTGACATTAGGGTCCAACTTGCAACCTTTCCGAAAGGGTTGGTAACAGTGAATCATGCCTGTGTGTGAGGCAACTGGGCGTTGAGAGAACAGGAGTACTTGAGGATAACCAGCACAATGGAGCCCCTCACCAGTAAGAGGAGACCAAAGAGGTATTTGACAGTGGGAAGACAATTACAAAAAAGAAATAGATGCACTAAATGGAATTTTTTTTTCTAATATTAAGCAGTGTGCGTTATAAAAGCAAGTGCTAGCAAAAGTGTTTATGAAAGATCAGCAGGACACCAAAGTACATATATGCAATTAACATTGGCATAAAATACAACAACCTGTATTTATATCTCACACTTCATGTGTGTTAGCGTCTCAGAGCGCTTAACAAGAAAGTAAATGAATAAGAGAACAGAGGCAATAAAGCCAGCTATAGTGCCATACTTTGAAAAAGGCAATCTACAAACTAAATTAATCAAAGGCTTGGCACACTCACCCTGTGAGTATTGAAAGAGAATAAACAAAGATGTTGACTTACACAGGCCAGAAGAACGTGCCAGCCTTCAATGCTTGGCTGGTAGCAGTTACCCAGATCTTGAATAAAAAGGGAGAAAAAAAAATGAAATTGTACAGAACAGACACGTCACCAAAGCTACTAAAATTATAAGCGATTTTTCGGGCAAGGAAATCAACAATTTGTGTCAAGACTTTAATGCAGGCTAATGTCATCCAAAGTTATTCCAATAAGTTATACAATACTTCAAAATGGGACATTGGCCCTCACAGTTCGTGGCACCACTCGATCTCTCATTCTTTCAAGTCGTCTGCCAAAGTTTTTTTTGTTAGCGTCTATCAGACTCGAAAAAGCCTCCCACCATTTAACTTATTTTGACAAAAAATCTACAAAATAATAGATGTGAGGTTAAATGAATACTTCATCTTATGGTGACAGGTTATTTCATGGTTCATGACAATAACAATATGATCAGAACCACTCAACTAAAATGCTGCCTTGTAATGTGCAGTCACCCATCTATTGTCCTATATTTATATAATTACAAGATTTGTACCACATTTAAACAGATTTAGATAAATACTCATATTGCTTAATAGAATAAGATTTCAAAGAATATTCTGTTTCAGAAATGTGTATTTGTACGCTGTTCTGAAGGTGTTGAGGAATCCTGCCTTGCCACCCTGCTACAGCACCTTTTATTATAGGGTGGTTTGTTTATGTCATTGCAGTGTAGACCCCATTTATTGTGAACGTGCACAGCTTTCCCGCTTGCCAGGCGGCTCTCAGCTAAGATCGCTAACTTCCAGGTGATTAAGTCACCACTGATATCGCTTCCTGTTCTCTGAGCACCTGAGGTAAATATGGCTGATATGTAGGTCATCGGGTCACTGCAATGCTTGGGTCATTCCTATGTTTGTCGAGCACAGCACATGAGAAGTGGCATTGGTTGTGCTGTGACCCACTGACCATTGATAGAAAGTATCTTGTTGGCTTTGCACGTGCACCATTAAACTGCTTATTTTCAGATTCCCAACCACCACATTACAATGGAGCTCGATGTGTTTGATATCTGCATGTGAGCATTGCTATCTCGGACACTACAAATCACCCAAGTAAATCCACTTTCTGCACTATATAAATATATATTATATATATAGAGAGAGAGAGAGAAAGGAGAGAGAGAGAGAGAGAAAGTCAGATAAATAAAAAGAAGGAAACATGGGCACTATTAAGCCTTAATTTATATCATTTTGCATCATAAGGGGAGGGCCTGCTGAGTCATATTTCAAAACATCATGAATGACAAACGAGAACAAAAAGTTTCTGAAAGATAAAATACTACCACTAGGGAGTTTTTTTAAAAAAAGTCTAAGACCTCTTCCTGCTGAGAAGTGAAGAGTCAAAATCAGTCATCTCTTGTTACACACTAGGGAACATCATAGGAGGTCGGTAGTTTCCTCCATGTCCTGACAGAAATAAAACAAGTACAGTGTACTATATTCCCTTATTGCCCTGGCTGTTGTTAACAGGAGCAATACTGCGCCTGTTTTGAACATTGTAAATGATATGAATTAAATAATCTGTCAAAATCACAAGCAGAACGTGGTTTGATGGAGCTTCAATGAAAGACACTGAAATAGAAATAGAAATCACAGCTAACATAGTCAAACTGAAGTTTCTCAAAAATGAAGCAATGCAATAAAAGCTGCAGTATTCTTAAACACGTTTTGTTCCTTATTTAAGAAATAAGGTTAAAATTTGTTTTAAAATCCATCTAACCACCCCTGCCACACCCGATCTTAGAGAAATTGAAGCACATGAAATATGAACTTAAATTCCAGTCAGCATCTTTGGTGGCCCTTGATTATAATGGGAGGTTTCCCATTAGCAGTGTCATCATAGTAATAATAATAATAATTCTAGCATTTGATATAGAGCCTTATCATGTCGTCAAGACGTCTCAAAGTGGTTTATGGAAAATACTGTAAAATGCATTGACTATATATTTTTGTGGGCAAAACACATAACGTTATGCATAACACCGACCAGAATTTCAGCCCAATTGTCTGAAAATGACTGGAACCATCATCTTGACTTCCATTGCCATAGAAATGTGTCTTTGTGAGGTTTTCAGGGAATCTGAGCTAGCGGAGTGGATCCCATCAATAAGACCAGAGAGGTAGTTTTTTCCATGCTTGCAAATGGCAAACCAAGCCCACTGAAATATCAGGGCCCAACTTGTGCTTATATATTAATAGGTTTTGCATATTTAGCTTCCATAACTCGCTAACATTCACCATCTATGCCCATTCACACACACAGTTTGCATGTAATAAACAGATTAATGCCAACTCTCACAATTGTAAATCTTAATTCGCAAATAGTTTCTCTGAAAGAGAACAACATAATAAATCACTCTGAACAAGCAGAGAAGATTGCTTTAAGTGCATTAGAAGTTAGCTTAATGTTAACAGGAAAAAGTTTCCCAATCTTTATTTTGAAGTCAACCAGTGTTTGACACGCACAGAAATTCAGCACATGTTTGGTTTCCATTTTCTGGTATGGAGTGGGTATTCTCCTGGGGGGATGTATCTTGCTCACCTAATACTGGAGAGTTTAGGTGCTGGTTGACAAGAGTCAAGGCTTGGAGACCCCAGAGTGCGTGTAGGGGTATTGCTGGAGTTTCACCAGCTACAAAACCCAGCTTGCAATTATAAATTATGAATCAAGATCTTCACACAACCTGACAATGGTTCAAACAAGTTATTTCTTTTACATTTCCTTAATTTGGTTATGAACTGCTAACAAGGACATTTTTTTGTTGCTGGAAGATAACAGTAGACAGCAATTAGGAGACTAACTATACAGAATTGCGCTGCTCTGCTGGTAGAGTTCCAAAATAAGCTGTTCAAAACTTACCGGTTGTCCACCCCACCATCGAGGGTTGAATTTTTCTCTACCTCGAAGACTGAAGTTGGCATCAAACACAGGGTCATGCATCAAATTGCCAACAATGCCATGTGATTCAGGATAAAGTCCCTTTGTACAAAGAACCAAAACAAACTGATTAGACATGGCCTTTATCTGTCAGAAAGTTCACAAGCATTCATAATGTTCAAAACATTTTTGTATGTGGACTAGATTTCGATTTTAAAAAAGTGCAAAAAAATTTGGATTTCTAATTTCTTTCACGATAGGAAAAGCAGGGGAAAAATAACAAATATTTGTTTTAGCTTGAAAGGAAACAAGTTTTGAGAAGGTTCAGCTTTCCAGGCATCATCATGTTTTCTCTTATTTCCACTTGCTCTATATTACCCTCATAAACTAATTCCTACAGGCTTCACATAAAATGTGCTGAAATGGGCAACTTGGGGAGAAAAACGTTATTGACATAGCATTACAAAAACACTAATGCCATTAATGAACTTCTATACACTTCCTTTTCCTAATCCGAAACAGGCTTGCTACTATTTCAGCACATTTAAAGACTTTATTTATCCAGAAATTGGTTCAAATCGGGGTCCTGATTGCAGTGCTCAACAAATAGAGAAAAAATAAATGGAGGCGAAAAGAGACCCCGTGCAATTTTCAGTCAGTCGACTTTTTCATTACTTTGCCATCTGTTTTAGTTTGCAGATGGTTGGGCGATATGGAAACATACAATTTTATTTCAAGAAAAATCTGAACTAACACAAAAAAAATCTAGGCCGATGCTCTGAAAGTCCCCATTATTATTTTTTCCCTCCACCAATTTTATCCTTTTATTCCATTTCGGCTGAAGCTAATATCTCACTCTGCAGCACCGTCCTACATACAATACAAAACTACATTTGTATAGCACCTTTCACATGAAAGGGTACATGTGCCATCAGTTTGCTAGAACGGCGATGTCCCATGATTCAGCCCACACAGTAAGTGTCAGCATGCCAGGCGCTATCAAAGTCCAGCCTGTCCCTGACATCCACAGTGTTGCTCTTTTAACTGGGATCACTGTTTCACGATCAGGGGAAAGGCTGTGTTTTGCTTCCTTTCCATAGCGTATGGATACTGAGGCCTCTGGTGAACTGACTGAGATTGGCTAGCTCAGCACAGACCAGTGATCAAAGGCAAAACTTTCCTGCACTGTGTGGCCCAATGCTACAAACATGCAGTGCATTTATGTGTTAAGCTGTCCTTATTTCTTATATTGTACCCTAAGAATAATTCAAAGGAACAGGTAACGTCACGCATAAAAAATGTGCATATATATTATATACATATAATTTGTAAGTAATTCTAACAGATAGAATTGTTCTATTCATTCCTGCTATGAATCATGCTTTGCTGTTCATTCCAAACTTCTGCAGAGAACTGGGACCCCGTGCATCTTTGGACATGATAGCGACACACTCCACACATATACGTAACAAATTTTGCTTGAATTGAAACCTTTTAATAAACTAATGAAAGAGCAATATTTTTTTCATTAGAATTCGTGGAACAGAAGCAGCACATTCTACAGAAATGGCACACTCACAGTAGCAAGGGTGTACATGTTGGGAAAGGTTTTTGTTGGATAAACTGGCCTCATGTAAGGAGCATGACTTCCACACGATCCTAAAAACAAAAGCAGCTGTTACCATCTGGAAAGAAGCAAGAGTACTGCAACATCAACAAAATGATAATTATATTTAAATAAAACACTAAAATGTATGCTGTGAAATACTACTGAGTATATCTTAGATTTGATAACATGATTCTGTGAAATTATTAACTGGCAGGGCAAATATTTAGTTAGGTTTGAAACTACTCAGTGTTTGGGTTTATTTTTCCAATCACTGTGCAATGTTATTGCAGATTTGGATGAAAGCAAGATTTGTAGGATTAGCCTTGCACTAAATGTACATCTGGAATTCATTACACTAACATTACTTGTTAGTGTTTCCATGTATAACTCGAACCTGGCAAGAGCAGGATACAAGCTGAACAATGACAGTACCAGATTAAGTAATTAAAAGGTAAGACAAGGTATTGTATTAACTACAGGAAATAAATAATGTCTTCCTGTATATGTTTCATAAAGGTCACTGTGTCTGCAATATCCATGTTAATTCTGTAATGTTTCAAAACATTTTATCAAATAGTTTTATGTTATGTAACAAATGAAAATGTCAAAACGTATTTCTGCACTGCCAAAAACAGAAGGTTCTATCTTTCTCCCACTGCTTGTGTTATTTTAAGGTTCTCAAAGAGATCATCGTGGTTTGATTCAAAGCGTGGATTTATTTAACTCAATCAGTGAGTGTGACATTATTTTGTATGAATCAAACAAAGCTGGAAATAAGGACAAGGAGGTTGACTCTGCTGTCAGGAAACTTTCAACATTTTCTATGGGAACTGGCCTAACTAGTTGGTCACTTTGGAAGGGAAAGTGTTAATGAAAGGGGGAAGATGAGTTTGGGGAAACTTTTTACCTTCGTATGGGTCGCACAACATTGGGTTTGAAACATTACCTACTCCTGAAAAGTAATCAGCGCCAAAGCACTTCCCTTTGAAGTGAGAAAGAGGACACGCATAATTGAAACAGATGTGAAATTGAAGTGCTCCACTGAGGGTAACCAAAGGGAGTTCGACAAAGAACATGTCTGCTTGTAGGGATTGAATTCCACACAGTTGCTCCCTGCCAAAGGGTTCAGATTGGTGCATGCACAGACTGAAGTGCAGAACTTAATATTGTCTGGTACAAGCCCCCAGTCGGGATCCTCCTTTTGGAAGCTAGAAGAAAGTTTCTTCCTTTAATAAGACTCCACAAAGGTGCCTTTGAGCTCTTGATTATTTTTCATAAAAGAGGAACAAGAGGGAAGACCATTTAAAGCAACCCTCCCCACCAACATCCTCCCTCCCCCACCACACACACACACAGACGTTTCCTTTTAAAGATGATTTACACGTTATAGAGAATTAAAAGCACAAATAGGGATGGCTTCCGGAATATAAAGTGAATCCCAGTTTTAAATATACACCATTCATGGTGCTGAAGTCACTTTGATCCACAGAATATTCATTCATTTCAGATTTTTCAAGCAATCTGAGATGCACAATACATTGAATTATTACCGCTTACTTCTGCTTAAAGAGATTTAGCTTCAAGATTCATCTGAAGTAACTGACTGAGCAATATCAGAACAAAAATCAATAGTCTGATAAATATTTCTTAGGTAAGAGAATCAAGCGACATGGAAAAATGGGGAGAAAATGGAGTTGACTACAATTCAGCCATGATCTAATAAAATAGTGGAACAGGCTTAAGAGGCTGAATGACCTACTCCTTTTCCTATGATTTACAAAGCTCATCTAAATAAGAAACACACAGTTCAGTGCACCAAAAACCTGAATTACTTTTCTGAAACAATTTTTTTTAATTAAGTTCATTCAAATCAAGTTACTCCAATTCATCCAGACTCTGATTACTCATCAGCACAAGGAGGTTCTACAAATTATTACAAGGACAGCTTTTAAAGAAGTCAACTTACTTAGTTTTTCAATATGGGGCATGACCTTGGCTCCTTTCTTCATATATGAAGCCCGAAACCCATCAACCGAGAAAATGATGAGTGGTGGACGAACAAAACTAAAATGTTTAATAAACAACAAAAAGTCCATATTAAATTATTTTTCAATTATTTAGCAAATGCAAAGACTTAAATCAATTCCTGTCCAGCTGATCTAAAAAATATTAGTAATAATGATGCAAAGACGATGCCTTATTTACTCAAATCTAAGGCACTCCCAAACTCTAAACAGCAAGTATAATAATCCGTAAATAATCCTTGTATTTTATTTTTCACCTTTTACATCAGGAGAACCTCTCAAAGCGTTTCACAAGATTTACTGAAAGTGTAGTGACTGTGTACTTGCAGGGGAACGCAAGCAAGGTACATTTTTTAGAGGATTTGGGGAAAAAAGGAACTTTACTGCAATTCTATGCACCATAGATTCTGAGTCCAGATTTTTAGAAGCGCTTTTTCAATGGGAAAACCTATGCTTTAGATTTGAATGAATATATTACTCTGCTGCAACAGGTATAAAAGTACCAAGATCTTTGTAACCACTGCAGACCCCAATATTAACATTGTAGTTACCCTGCCGGACAATCTGGGACTCTCAAGTCTTCACACTCGTCATCCAACCAGCGTGTCTCCCCTTGTGGCAAGGATCAGCACATAATTAATAATCAAAGATTTGGATTACAGTACTGACATAATGAGAAAATATCTAACATAATCTAAGATATATTTATATTAAATGTAAAATTTGGTTTTGAACATGGTTCAAAATACCACAGTTATGTGGCAACCTTTAAACACTTCCTATTCTAACTGAAAATCTTGACGATCTGAACGAAAAATAATGGTACATTTCCTTGAAAATATGAATCACTTTAATAATGATTTTTTTAAAAAAAGTCCAACATTATATTAGTTTTAATCTTCCAGAAAACCACAAAGGGACAAATTACCAAACCAGAGTCTAATAGATTCCATTAATGCTATCAGACACGCAATGCTAACATGCAAACAGTGTCTAAAATTGATCATTAGAGGAAGGCAAGAATATAAAAATTGCAGTTACCATGACCACATTATAACTCTAAAGAAAAGTAAAAAGTTATGGATATGTTTAAAGAATATCAATTATAAAACCTTGTATGAAGATTTTCTCTATCCAAAGCAGTGGAACACTGGTTGAATTGATCACATCCCAATGAGGCATGATAACCGGTTTCCCTGCAGATGTGCAGTGGACTGACTGCACACACACACACAAAATGGGATCCACACTGCAACTGTGTTATAACCAAATTCATGCTACAAAGAAGGGAACGGCAATGTCCACCTTCAACTCATCAATCTGTTCTGAATAATTAAATTCCATCTTCTAGAAACTCTAAATCTTCTTCTGTCTCTTAACTCACCTTTGCACATAGCCATATAGTTGGTGCAGCAATCTTTCTTTGCCATGCAGTCTTCAGAGCAATGGCAAGCATGATCTTCATTTCGTGTTTCCCCACACCGTTCCTTGGTGCACTCCCATCCTCGACCTAAAATATGTTTTATAGCAACATCATTACGTGATGGTAACAACCAGCTGAAGGGTAACCCTGATATGGTTTTACCACCACGTTCACTAGAAGATTCTGGTTTTGTACATTGCACAGTGAATACATTCTACATATTATTATAAATTATTATAAATGGATAACGTTTAGCAAAAGCTTGAGTGACAGGCCCAGCATAACTATAGCAAGTTTATCTGATCAATATAATGGCAACAGAAATAATTCTTATTATGGATTGTATGACAAAAATAAATCAACTTCTAGCACGATATTTGTAAGCCAAATAATTGCTACTCATGTAGCTCTCATGCTCCCTGGCTGCTAGATTTAAAATAAAATTAATAAAAATTAATACTTTCAATGAACTGCAGTCCAGCACAATTTGCAGCCTCAATGGATCAACTAATTTTAAAACATTATGGATGAGAAATTCCTCTTTCCATTAAGTGAATGACTTTGACAATGTGTCCTTACCATGGGAAAATCCCATTATAAGTGGTCATTGCCAAAGCTGCTTCATTTGGTGACAAGACATATTTTGTACTGCATATAAGTCATATGTTTATATTATATTCCCTGCTTATCTCCTTCTCAGTTACACATTTTTACTCAGCTAAAAAGGAAGCAAGCAACTTATTCCTAGACCTTTGCAAATGAACAGCTGATCTGAATTAGATCAGATTTTAGCCCTCTTGAACTGGCCACGAGCAGGTGTTCGGGAGTTAATAAGCAGGGACGGGCACTCCTAATTTTCTTTCTATTTCCTTGCAAAATTCACGTCTTACCACTGAGGCACGGCACATTGGTAGACCCACACCCTATACCCGTCTACCATGATAGAGACTCAAAACACTGGCAAACTAACAATTAGATGTTGCAAATTCCACCCACCAAAAGACAGATAGAAGACTTTTTCAGTTTGACCATCAATGGTATAAAACTGCCCATCAAAAGATGTGATTCAGAACTCCCTGAATGCCACTGCCAAATCCCCAGTTTGATCTGATTTACTTATCTTAGCTAGAATTTGCTTCAGTGAATCAGGCATAAGACTTGGAACATCACATAAAGTTTTGCTCCTGGCTGCTGTCCATTGATCTCTGCTGAACAAGGTGTGAACTTGAGTGAGGAAAGGATAAGGCTCGACAGTGATGAAGACACGATGACCAGCCATGTAGGTGAATAATTACCAGAGATCACCTGGTGTAATAATAATAATAATCCTTGCATTTGTTATAGCGCTTTTCACGTCTTAACGTCTCAAAGCGCTTCACAGAATATACTGTAAAGTGAATTGACTGTATATTTGTGGGCAAAACACGGCAGCCAATTGCGCACAGCAGTGTCCTACAAACAGTCGTGGATTGAGTGACCAAATTGTTATTTTTGTTGAAGGATTATTATCCCCAGAAAAACGATCCACCAATCGACTAACAACCAGGTTTCTACTTACTGCTAGGTAAACAGAGGTGTTTGGAGTAAAGAAACTTGCCCAATGTTTCGCCCTGCCAAGAATCGAACCCATAATAATGTATATTATGTATAATAAGGTGTAATGTAGAGTAATAATCCAGCATCAGTCAATTGTTTCAGTAGAACAGGAGAAAGGAGAAATAATGCCAGTACACTGCATGCTGTCCTATGCAATACTGTTCACAACTGCAATCTTCAACCCATGGATTTCCTGACCTCACATGTTGTTTTGTGAGCAAGTGTTAAACAGTGACATGTGCTATCCAACAGGGTGGGAGAGGAAAATGATCTAATGGACATCATTCGGCTTGAAAGAATCAAATTCCAGTGGGGATAAATCAGATGAAGAAAAAAAAGTATTTTTTCATCCTTGTCAACCAAACCAAGCACAAAAACATTAAACCAATTGGTAAAAGTAACTTGTGACTTCCTCATTGGCAGACAAGCCTCCAACTGGATCAGGTGTTTGATTCCCCAAGCTCACCGACCATTATTTAATCACCACTATTCATGTGTGGGCATCACTGCTGCATTCCATTAAATTCCTTCCATTCACCAGCAGAGCCGAAGTGTCTCAAGCATAGTTTCATTGCGGTTATCATCAATTAGCTGATGGAATGCATACACCAGTTACTCAGAATAAATCTTATCTGGATGTGTTTTCTTCTCTGCTGAGTTACAATTTGTAGCACATTACTATCCCAAGTGATTACAACGTAAAAAAGAAGGAACGAGAGAAGATCAGAAAATATATTGGACTACAAGTTGAATGTGGATGTATGTGGTAGTATAAAACATAGTTCCTATTATCATGGATGCAACTGGGACTGTTAATAACACTATTTCAAATTGGCTTGATAAAATACCTGGTGTAGAAAATATCAATCTCTTGCAAAAAGTTGCTATTTTAGGAAGCTCAAACATACTAAGAAAAGTAACATCCAATCATATGTAACGTGGCAGTACTATTGTGTGACTGACTCATCACTGAAAATCACTTAGAAATTACATTTACAGAGTGATTTACAATGTAATAGCATGATAATAACAATAATAACAATAACATCAATAATAATGATCCTTGCATTTGATATAATGTCTTATCACATTGAAATATCTCAAAACACTCCATAGGCTTTAATGTAAAATGTAGTGATGTGCATTTGTGTATATACAAATAGCCATGAAGTGACAGACCATTGGCCAGGATACTGGGAGAAACTCCCATATCTTTGTTAATTGGATTGTTTTGATTGATCCCATGGGATCTTTAATAAACACCTACTCAGGCAAATGGGACTTAAGTTTAGCATCTTAATTTGTTGTTGTTGTTATCCACAGGATGAATTTCCAACAATGCATTTCTCCATAAATATAACCTCCATACATAACTTCCAGCTCACATTTTACACAATTAAACTCATGCAAAGAGGGCAGGCAAGTTTATATATTTGACAAAGATAGGATTGGAACTTATCATTCCTTATATGGAAGTTCCACCCACACCTTCCCTTCCCCACCCACCTACTGCTAGAGATATTGTGCCCGTCAATCAAGCCTTTTTTATTTAACAAAAATTTTACTCGTAAAATGTTCACAGCGCATTACATCAAAATATATCAGCGCAACTATACAAAGGTTTAAATTTCCAAGCTAACTAGCTAACTCACCTGCCTGCCCTCTCAGTCGAGGAATGGGACGTGACAGGGAAGGAAGAGGGTAACCTAAAGAGGGGGAGAAAATAAGACTTACAGAAATGGGGAACAAAAATAAAAATGCACAGGGCTGTAAGTTTTTCTCTGAATATTTTGAGCCATACTAGGTCTGTTGCTTGAACATCTGTTCAAATGGCTGATACTACAGCAGTGTACTTTGTGTTCACTGCACAGCGCTGAAGGAATGACACCAAGCAGAGGCCAGATGTCACCCCACAGGGAGGCAGGGGGTGAGGGGGGGGAAAGAAAATCAACCTTGGGCTGCCCTGGTAAATCCCTTAGCAGCCAGCTTCAGAACAGCATCAGCATGGCCTCGGGGCAGATCAACTCTGCCCAGTTTCTCAGTCACAGATGTGGAGTGGCACAATGAGAGCTCGGGAGCAAAAAAAGAAAAAATATCAAATGCAAGGATTATTAAAAAGAGTAACTACTTTCAAAAGTGGGGCGGAGGGGAGGGTGGGAGGAGTCTGAACATACAACAAAAAAGCATGTTCTGCTCTGACTTTAGTACCTGTCTTCAAACAAAGCTGATCAAAATCTAAACAGCAACTGTTATAACTTTTGCACAAATTGTCACAACGACAGTTGGGTGGCGTTGCCTCCTGCAGTTCAAAACATCTGCCCCGGCATGACCCAGCCGAAGAGGTGGCACGGGCTGAATCTGAAAGAAATGTGTAAAACAAGACCATAAACATCTGTTAGGGACAGCATTCTCCAGTGAACAAGCAATCCAGAACAATGTTTATAATTCCATTCCCTCACAAAATGAACCAAACATATTTCATACATACAAACATATATATATATATATATAGATACACTCAGGGTGACCAAAAAGTCGTGATACCATTACAATATCTAATAAGTCTTAAAGAAATGACGATATTTTGGTTTTTTTTGGTAATAGGGTACTTATCACTCTTTGGTCATCCTGTATTATGTATATATTTTATATGTCAGCACAAAACACCACATGGAAATTCAGCTAACCCTTGCAGAGATGTTTGTACGTGTTGTCAAATTAAATCAGCTAAATTATAATAACTAATGAAAATGCATAATTTTACATAATCTCCCCAAACCAACGCTCACTAAGGTAACTGAAAGCAGGCATAAACCTTTGGGCGATGCACTGACTGATTTCACAGATGTCAGGAAAGTTAGACTGTGGTCGCAGGGCAAGAGCCAAATAACAAATGCGCGCACACAAATTGCATTTTTTTTTCATTTAATAATCGTCTAAGCAACGGAACAATTGGCTTAATAAAGTTCTTAATCACAGATGTTCTTTGTTCATTGAGAAGGTTATTATGCCTCACACTGAAAACAGTGAAGGAAGGAGCAGGGTAACCTAAATTAACCTAATTTGTCTTTAGAGATTTGGTTTGTTTATTGTTGTTGGTTTATTAATTGACACCCCAACCCCCCCACCCGAACTCTATCAAGATCATTCACTCACCTGACTAAAATGCTAACAAATAGCTCCCTGTAAAATTGCAATACTTCTTTGAGTTTGTAATGCTAGCAGAAATGACAGAACTTGTCACTATAAGCCATTGTCAGAGGAGTCAATGCAGATGTTCTCTTTGTGGCAGCTTCACATTATGAAAACATCATAGATATTGATGTGACCAAAAGCACAAAAACTAGTAATAACTTGGAAGGTGGTAAAATTGGTCATTCACTTCATAGCTGTTTGTGGGACATTGTTGTGTACAAATTGACTGCTGCATTGACCCACAAAATACACACAAACCTTCAATGTAACGCTTTGACAAGTTTCAACACCATGATAAAGTGGTATATCGAATGCAAGGGTTATTATTATTAGAAGATAATTTCGGTTACACATGCAGTACAAAATCTGTCGGTGTACAACTTGTACCTTTCTGCATCATTTTATATTGTCTAAATACAAGATGCAAATACAGGGTTCACAATAAAGAGAGAAGCAAACAATTGAAGTGTAACTCATACCATACATTTTATGGTGGTTTTAAAAATCGCGTTAGAACGTCTTATACAGCAGTGCATTTTGTAAAACTTCTTTATAGCATAGACATCAAAAGTATGCCCTAATTATTACCAACTTGTGATGAAACTATAGAATAATAAGAATGGTGCAACACATTTCATGAGTTCATTTAATCAAGATTCAATTAATGTCCTTTTTTCACTTGTGAAAAGTGAATGAATTAGTCAAATCAATCAATAAATCAATCAATCAATAAATCAATCAATCAATAAGAATTGAAACCTGTGAATGATTAAAAGGCAGTAAGTAATCTCATTGAAGGATTTGGGTGACATTTGATACAAAAATGAAGCTTGAGGTATTTATACCAATCACATGAACATTGAGATGCATTTATTGTGAATCCAAGGTTTGTGATTTTTGTAGTATTTGCACAGTGGTGTTTCCCTTTTATCTTCAGGCAGTGAGCATCATTAGTAAGAGGCAAAGTACAGAAAGCATTGTGCAGTTAGTGCCCCTCAGCATCACCACTGAAGCACTGTGAACATAACTTATCTGTGTAAGTTATAGCATCTGCAATAACTTATAGCATTTGCAGTTTTTTGCATTTTGTTTATAACTTATCTGTGAATTGATTATATCATAATCCTTACATCGTGCCATCAGTTGTCTCAAAGAGCTTCATAAGATTTGTTTGTAAAGTGTCATGATTGTATATTTTATGGGTCGCAGTCAGCTGCAAATGCAGCAGACAATTTGAAAACAGTAATATCCCACAAAGAGCCATGAAATAAATGGCCAGTTTTATTTCACCATTAAACAGCACAGTCAATAGATATACTATTTGGATGAGCTAATTCAGAAAAACTTTCTTATATTTCTCATATATATTTCAGTGAAATGTTTTGATTTTTTTAGAGGCCAAAAAATGTATTCTGTTGCAACTGAATGGTCTGGTTTATTTTATTTTTATACAGGCTTATCTCAATCTAATTTGGGTGATATTTGAGTTTTCATTCCAGTTACCTATTAAAATATTTCTCCAATTGACAAGTTAAAAGTGCATGCCAATGTTAAACAAGGGTGAAAACTGCAAAGCAAATATTTTCCAATCAATTCAGACTGTTTTGATCTGAAATTCGTTGAAGCAAAACAAGGACTTGTTGTTTATCTGAATGTTCTTTGCTCACAGTCTTCCCTGAAAGGAACAGTACAGTAATTGTTTTGCGACCGAAAAATAGATTCTTCAAAATCTATTGTTTATTCCTTGTAGAAACAAGTTTTTTTTAAATATGGAAACAAACTTAAAGTGAACAGCTGTTCGTTTTTTAATCAAGAATGTACTTTTACAGTATAACTTACTCAGACTTAAATTCTTTGTACACGTGGGTAAATTATTATGTGATTTCTTTTCAAATATAGATAATAAAAAGCACAATACAGAACAGGACTCTTGGAAAGTTGAAGCATTAAAAAGCCCTGATAGTTCCATGAAGTTTACAGACCCACATGATTGAAGAATTGCCTTTGAAACTCTGGAGTGCCCTTAAAAGTAAAAAAAAAACTTCACCACAACTCTCAGAAGAGATCAACCCAACAATGAATCAATCCACTCGTGTGCACAACCTGCTCATTGACAAACAAGCTTGACATTTATTCTGTGTTGGGATCATTACAAAAGCATCTCAGTGATGCCCCTGTTCTGAAGCACACACCGCAAAATTTCACAACAAACTCGTCGGTAAAACCGACATTTGACAGCAACAATTCTGGCTTTGCAAATTTGCTCTCATTTTGCTGGAGAGTGGAATCTACTCTTCCTTCTCACCAGCTGAGTGCAACCCATAGACTATGATGAATATCAGTGAGCAGATCATGGCCAAACACCCACTGGGCAGCCCTGCCACAGTGCACCAGCCTTTCTGTACCTACTGATGAGAATGTGGTGGGTTTGAAACAAAATAAAAGCTACCAAGCTCCTGGCTGTCCTAGTCGTGGATGGAAAGTGGGCAATAATTCACATCACGATGTAAGTTTGTAATGGGGGGGGAGGTTGCATAATATACTGACTGTTTTGGTATGAGATGAATCGAAGTGCTGAAGCCACCAGCCTTGTTGCACTAACATTTATATCTGGATACACCTTCTCGGCCAAATTGTGTTGGTCAGTGGTTGTGTCCACTTTCACTTGTTCAGCTATTCAGGAGTGTAGTTATTCTCTGGTCCTCATTGAAACAACAGGGACCTGAATCATGTTCACAGTCATGTCGCTGTTTGCTCCTTATCTATTATCCGATGTAGATATAAAAGGTTTGCACGATCCATCTGTCTATCTCTCTATCTCTCTATCCATATCCATCCATCCATCTCTCCATCTATTCCCCTCTAATGCAACATAAAGTGGCGATCTGGAAGACGAGGCATCTAAATCGTCGCCTTGTGCACTGAACCACGGAAATGCCCTATTAACCACACGATCTGAGCCCAAACTGATACAGCGATATCTCTGCTGAAGACTGTGGTCAGACATAAACCAACAGCAAACACATCCCGAGAATACAACAACAACAACATTATATTTGCAAAGGACAGAGTTTCGGACCCGAGCTGGGGGTGGGGTGGGGTGGGGGGGGGGGGGGTTGGGGGGTGTTTGGGGTCTGATCGAAAGCGACAGATATCATTAAAAATCACAATAAAGTACCTTCACGGTTATTCGCTTCTCCAGATCTCTGCAGGCGGCGCACAGCCATCCCCAGGCACACATTCACCCCCACAGCGATGGTCAACAGGGAAATCATCTGCAAAAAGATGTGTCCGTTTATCCGCTGGATACCAATGGCTATTGGGGTCGGGATGATTCCTTACATCTCCTATTTGACCTCGAGGCTCGATGCACAAATCGCAGCAAAAGGTTGACCTCGATAACACAGTGTGTGTGTGTGTGTGTGTCCTTCCTACAGTTAGATTCTGCTCAGCACAAGGAGGAGGAGGAGGTGGGGGTCGGGGGGGGGTCGGGGGGGGGGGGACAGCAAATTGTGTCACCTTTTCACAATCGCACGAATCGGTCGCGATCGCAGCAAAAAAAAAATCACAGCAGATGCACTGCCACAGACATCCAGGAATCGCACACAAGTATTTGCAGGTTAGTGTGTGCGTGTGTGTGTGTGGTGTGTGGAGGGGAGTGTGGTGGTGGTGAGGGTGGTGGTGAGGGTGATGGTGAGGGTGAGGGTGAGGGTGGTGGGTGGGGGGTGGGAGGTGATGAGGATCGACCTTGTTAAACCACATTTACACGTACCTGAGACAGTTTCACGGACGTGTAGTTGGACATGTTTGTGAGCAGCGTCAGGCAGTCAGTGAAGAGGAGAGGAGAGGACAGGACAGGACAGGACAGCAGCAAACACTGCTGTGTGTTGGAGCTGCAGCACCTCTGTGGCTTCCCCTCCCGACAGCGTCGCCACTGCTCCCACCTGTTCAGGTTGTCAATCTGAATGGCTCATATACCTCTCACGCCTCTCACTCTCTCTGCTCAACCAGATTTGAGGGGGAGCGATTCCCCCCCCCCTCTCTCTCACTCTCTCTCTCTCTCCTCTCCCTCTCTTTTGCTGGCGATTTATTACGATTGCAAACTCTCTTTTTTTTGTTTGGGGCAAAAAAAAATTTTAAAAACAAAAAAAAACTCCCCCACACACGAACCCCCCCCCACCACCACCACCCCACCACCAAAAAAAAAAAAATAAGCTTTCGCCTTGGAAAGCAAATAATTTCTTCCAACTAAAACTGCACGTGGGGATCCGCCAGTCTTTGTGTGTTTGGATGTAAAGTTTGGAGGATCTCAGCAGCTATTCAACGAGCTCCACTGACTCCAGTGTTGATTCTCAAAAGCATGTTGTTCGGGCACCAAATAGTGGTGTCTTTGTCTGCTTAAGAGGCAGTCAGAGCCTTGTGATGTGCAGCCACCCCGTTACCAGCTCCCTTTTAAAACAGCCTTACTTCAGTAGGAGTGTGTGTTGGTGCCAGTTTCCTGTCTGGCAATGTTCATCCATCTCTACCCCCCCCACCCCCCTCCACCACCCCCCCTTCTCCTCCCCTCCCCTCTCCCACTTCACAGTCCTGCAATACGTGCATGAAAAATAAATAGACGCTGTTGCAATACTTTTGGGCTTGAACGAGTGCAATTTTTTTTTTGGGTGGGGTGGGGGTTGTGGGGGTTGTGGGGGGTTGGCGGTGGGTTTTCCCAAAAAACAACCAGATGTAAATCAAAGCTGAACTGAAGCCAACCTGCATCCACTTCAATGCACCGCCTGGATTACAGTAAGATTGTTCCGTTCCTTTGAGGATGCCCTCTGCCGAGACTAGTCCTGACCTTTCCGGATTCGTATGTCTTACCTGAGCCATAAGCATATCTGTGGGTGTATACGAGTCTAACGTTGGATTTGCCATTGGTACTATATATCTAAATATATGTAGATGCAGGAAAACACTCCCATCAGTTTGCACTTTGGGAACTGTTTCTGCATGACTGTTAAAACCAGATGGAAGATACAGAAGCAAGAAACTAACTGATGGGAGATCACTTTACAGCCTGTAAGTTGTTTGGAAATAAAGCCCTGTGTCTTGACACGAGCGGAAACCCATCAGCATGTTTAAGAGTATCCAAACCAACCTGAGAGTTCAATGCATCCCACCTACATATGAAGATTCCAGAGATACTTATTGGAATGGAAATGCACACTCTCTCCCTGGAGGGATTTGCTTACCTAATTCCGGAGAGTATTACGCGCAGGTTGACAAGAACCAAGGCTTGTGGAACCCAGAGTATGTGTTGGGATAGTGCTGGAGTCTAACCAGGTAAAAGCACATATGACAACAATGCCTGGCAAGCTTTCCCGCTGCTTTCCCTACCATTAGGTTTCTGGCTTGCAGGATTAAGGGGAGCTGAGTGGGAGGGTTCCCTGTCTCCCTGGAGAGAGTTCAGCACAAAGGAAACCCCACTTACCTCCCCCTTTCCCAGGTGAATAGTTATTATTTGGTCATTTGACATCCGACAAGTGAGGTTTGAGCCCTCGCTAGGTGGATGGTAGGTACCAGGAACTCCCAAAGAGCTTCCTGATGAGCAACACAGCTCCACATGAAATGCATGAGAACATTGCGATGCCCATCATTGCAGCTCGGGTACACTCCCTTCCCATTGAGCAACAGTTCCACCAGTTGGAGGTGCAGAGCATAAGCAGCAACTCTGTACGAACATGTGTTGATGACTCGGACTCCAGGTAACGCCTCTCAGCAGCTGTCGCTCCAAGCCTCAGAGTTTCCTCATCAGCTATCTGGCAGGCATCTGCCTTCAATGTGGTGGGAGGTACTTTTCAGGACAGCTTGCTATGTGCCAGCCACCTTAATGTTCTCAAGGTCCCAGTCCAATGCTGTGTACCAGGCTTACTAAGCACCAGCTGCTTAATCCAGGTCCTCATATGAGGGGCCTTGGCAAATAGATGTGCCCACTGTGATGCTGCCTCTGCCTCAGGGTACTTAGTGACATGTCAATGTAGGCCTTCTCTGTAGCTGCTTCCCGCATTTGCCACAGGTTTTCTTCATCTCCAGGAGCTCGGATCCACTGTTTGCACACAGGTCTTGAATGCCACAAGCTTGACCTTCATTGGAACCTTGTTGTCCATGAAGAGAGATAAGCATGACCAGGCTGCCCTTCACCCCTTCTCAGCACCTTCCTTCAGGACAGTGTCCAGACTGAAGTTGGTGTCACCACAACCCAAGGTACCAATAAAAATCAACAATTGGCATCTTGTGTCTTCAAATCAATATAAAATAAATATATTCTTTAGGTTCTATGCATTTTGAATAGAGTGTAATGTTTCTGCTTCGGGTATCAGACTCTATTGGAAGTAACATTCTGGAAAAAGAGGCAGGTGAAGGCAGATATTGTCTGTGGAAGAAAGGAGGTCAGGATTGGACAGTGGGACTCTGGAGTTTTACTTTATTGCCTTTATTAGCTATTAGAATACCCCACACACCCTCCCCATATAGTAAGACTGTACAAGAAAAATCTATCGGGCACATTGTGTGGCTTGATGGGACAAATAGTGTTTTATCTTCATGTTTTCTTACAAAAAAAATCCCCTCATTGGGGGGGGGGGGGTGGTGGATGATAATTTATCAGTGCACGATAATTTATAACATGTCCTCTCCCCATCATTAAGAAAATACCAATATAATGAATTGGCCAGCCTTAATGCCTGGTGAGTAAATGATTAACACAGTATGGTATTGAACTACACAGAACAGAAAGTTGAACACTGTAGATAGTGAGTGTTTTGTTTGTGTGAGTGTGTGTGTGGGGGGATGAACGAATGACAGGATATATAATAGATTTTAGTATCTAGACCCCACAGTCTAATAAAGGCAGAAAACACTATTGATTGATCACGCTGAGACAATTGCACGCATTTCTCTCCCCCCAGCCCCCATGAGGGCATGGTTTATATAAGAAAACATGGAAAATAAAATACCATCAAGCCAATTCCTTCCAAAGCCACACAAATTGCCCAGTAGACTTTGCTCACACTATTGTATGTGGTGATGGGTGTGTGGGGGGAGGTGGTATTTTAATGGGAACTCTCTGAACTCCAAAATATTGAATTAAATCCAGATAGTTGTGATTATTACATACATATTTGCAGAGATACCAAATTGGAAGAGAATTATAGGTGCAACAGCTTATAAATATGAAGGATGCCTATTTATGTTAGCGACATTCTACCCTAAAATAATGTGGGAAGGGGAACAAGTTCAAGAAATGAAGAGTAAGGAAAGAAACCCAGAAAATATTCAAAAACCCTTGGAAATCAATGGATACCTAGGTAAACACTCAGTTAATTATTATTGATGATACCTCCAGTTAAACTTTTCACATAGTTGGCATCCTGATTATGGTGGTATAGTATTGTGAAAACTTTGGCTTTCCTATAATAATAATCCTATCATTTGATTTAATACTTTATTGCATTAGCAAGCTATCTCAAAGCACTTTGTACAATTTACTATAAAGTGTAGTGACTGTGTATTTTGTAAATGAATGCAGCAGGCAATTTGTACACAGCAACATCCCACAAACAGCCATGAAGTGAATGATCAATTTTATCTAGGGGTTTATTGACCAGGACACTGGGAGACTCACTTATTTTTTTGATACTCCACTGATGATCATCCATCATCCACCTATATTTTTTGGCTGAATTACACACTTACAAAATGAAGATGCAGTGCATTATAGTAGTTTTTTCTATTAAGCAATCCTGTAGTGGTAGTCATTTTATTTTAAGAATTAATTTTGTTCTAAAAAAGCTGGACAATCAATTTTAAACTATGCTTGAATGAACTTCATACATTCAGATCTGACAACCTGACATGGCCACAAAATACAGTCACACACTTTACAGTATATCCTGTAAAGCACTTTGAGACATCTGAACAATGTGATAAGGCAAAAAAATAATTTTTCAATCTGCAGTGTGGCTTTTTGCTAACTCATCTTAAGCCATTTTCTTTTAATCTATTTCACAAAATGTTCACACACCTTGTCACCTGTTTACATCTCTGTAATTTGTTAATTGGAAGGTAATTTGTCCATTTAAATATTTCAAAACTGACATTGGCAATTGTGGATTCAATGGGCACAGTCACTTACTTTTCAGTAAATCCTGTGAAGCAATTTGAGAAATTTACCAACGTGATAAGAATCTATATCAATTGGAAGGTTTACTATTAATATAAATGTGTTTTGCACATCCAATGAAACAATCAGAATTGAATTCCAAGTTATACAAAATGTTCTCTATCAGTGAAGCTGTCAAGAACATGGTGCAGCAAGTTAGTGTTATTTCTAGTTTTTATTCTCTCTATATAGAAACATGTCTCTAAACAAGACCTTTGTGTAAATAAATAACACGCTACTCTACTATTTCCTTGACTGGGAAAAAAAAATTGTGTTTGGCATTTGCCATGAAAGGTACAGAATTAAGCAACATTATGATTTGATTCAAAAAAAATATAGTGCAATGCAGGTTAACACCAATGGTTTCCAGCATTGTGAGTTCTTAACCTTTGCTGTTATGTTGCCAATCGGGAGCTGGGGGGAGAAAGAGAAACCAAGAACCAATTAGTACACCAACCAGGAGCCAGTTCCAAAGTGAAAAAATCTGGAGTTGCTGCTCACCTTGTTTGCTAAGAAATTGGCCTGTAAGGGGGGTAAAAGAAGACAGATAAAAAATAATTCTGCAGGGAAAACACCACCAATCCCATCTTTTACTCCTAACATTCTCTATGGAATGAATACCTTGCAGAAGAAAGATAATCAGCTTAATAAACAAATGCTATGCTCCTTTCCTTCCCTTTCACCTGTAAATGTCAACTGAAAAGAAGGAAGGCTAAAAATGTTGTTTTTTTAGATAATAATCTGAAGTGCTTAAATCCAAAGACACACACAATTGCTCTGATGGTTCTTTGAAATACAATGCTTTAGAGTACTGTAGCAATTTTATAATAATATTCCTTGTGTTTGATAAAGCACCTTATCATATTGTTGAGATATCTCAAAGTGCTTTACAGGATATACTGTAAAGTGGCGTGACTGTATTTTATGGGCGAATAATACTTTAATTTATATT